CACAACTGCCTGTAACCCCAGTACAATGAGAGTACCTGGCAGCCACTTCAGGGTAATTTCACATTCAGGGATGACACCAACATCCAAAGAAAACTTCCTAAGAACGTAAATATTTCAACTCTCTTGCAACTGACCCAGAGCAAAACATCTTAAAGATTCATCTCTCTGAAGTCCTATTGACAGCTGCTTTCTTCCCATGTTTCTCCCCCATCTCTCATGTGTTTCTGTCCCTCCCCCTTCTCCAGTCTGGCCCATTTGGCTGCATTTTCCCCTAGCCCTCCCTTCCCTCTTACTCTCAGCGGCTTTCTCTTCCTGGTTCAGTTTTTTCTTCTGCAAATGGCTTTATTCTTATCACTGTTTCTGAAAATCAACTATACTTACATTAAAGTTAAGTTCAGTCTCTAAGTCGCGTCCCACTCTTTGTGACCCCATGAACTGCAGCACGCCAGGCTCCCTGTCCTTCACCCTCTCCCGAAATTTGCTCAAATTTATGTCCATTGAGTCAGTGATGCCATCCAGCCATCCCATCCTCTGCCGCCCTCTTCTCCTTTAGCCTTCAATCCTTCCCAGCATCACGTTAAAGTTAAAATAACTCAAAATCAACCAAAGCACACACAAAGGGCTGACACAACTCTGGATATTAAGTTGCGGGCTCTCCGGCTACTGCCTGCACCACCGGTACATTCGTCAGATTTGTTCCTTTGTCGAAAGATAAAGACCAGTCTTACTTAGGGCGATGGATGCCAAACATAACTGGGGCAAAAAAGGATCCCTTAGAAACTTTGTGGTGTTAGAAACAGCACTTCCTGGGCCTCCATCATAGAGATTCTCCTCCAGGGCCAGGGACCTCTCAATTTGCATCTGCACAAGCTCCCTGGTGATTCTGAAGCGATGGTCCATGGACCCTTTCCATGGGAAATAGTCAGACGTGCAGCCATCTCAAGGGGACCCTCTTGAAACAGCATCTGGCCAAATTCACTTTACTGGGACTGAAGACTTCTTTCCTGGTGCAGTTTCTTCAGCAGATCCCCGCCCTTCAGCCTCCTGGAGAGCAGATCCCATGAGGCGTTCTTGAAAACGGAAGAGTCTAGAATCCAGACCTGAGGATGCGGCCAGGCATCTTCTGAATGGGCCTATCACCAGACTCCAACTCGTTCAAATGAGAAAACAAGACCCGCACGGCCCTGTCTCCCCCCATGTTGCTCATCACAGCTCTGCTGTTACATTGTGCTAGCTGTGAGGTTGGCAGCTTGTGGTAAAGAACAGAAGGGACCTCCTATCACAGTAAGGAAATTCTCACTTACATGTCCGAGGCACAAGCATGTGCCTAACCATGACTGTCCAGCTGGTTATTCTTTATTTTTTAAAAAAACCACATATGATTCTGTTTATATCAACTGTCCAGAGTCAGCTATAAGCTATAAAGACAGAAGGTAGATTGAGTGGTGGCCAGGATCTGGGGTCGCAGAGGGAAATGAGAAGTGACTTAGGGGTCAAGGTTCTTTTTTTTTCACTGAAAGATAATTGCTTTACTATGTTGTGTTAGTTTCTGCCATACAACAAATGAGCCAGCTATAAGTAGACATATATCCCCTCCCTCTTGGACTTCCCTCCCACCCCACCTCCATCCTACTCCTCTGGGTCATCACAGAGCTCTGAGCTGAGTTCCTTGTGCTATGCAGCAGCTTTGCACTAGCCATCTGTTCTACACACGGTAGGGTATATATGGGCTTCCCTGGTGGCTCAGTGGTAAGGAATCCTACTAGCCAATGCAGAGGACTTGGGTTCTATCCCTGGGTCGGGAAGATCCCCTGGAGAAGGAAATGGCAACCCACTCCTGTACTCTTGCCTGGGAAATCGCATGGACAGAGGAGCCTGGCGGGCTCCAGTCCATGGGGTCACAAAGAGCTGGACATGGCTGAGCCCTGCAGCCCTAGCACTAGTGTGTATATGTCAATGCTGCTATCTGTCTGTCTGTCTGTCCCACCCTTGCCTTCCCCTGCTGTGTCCACAAGTCTGTTCTCTGCTTCTGCATCTGTAATTAATTCACCTAATCTGTGGACGTCCTTGGTTGGCTCTCCTGTTTCTGGATGCTCAACTACAGAGCCTCTGAGAGCTCCTTTGACCCTGAAAAACCCTCACTGCTTCTCCTAGTTCCCAGTTCATACAGGGTTCTTCCCTCATAGCTCAGTCGGTAAAAAAATCCACCCGCAGTGCAGGAGACCTGGGTTCGATTTCTGGGTCAGGAAGATCCCCTAGAGATGGAAATGGCAACCCATGCTCTTATTCTTGCCTGGAAAATCCCATGGACAGAGGAGCCTGGTGGGCTCCAGTCTATGGGGTAGCAAGAGTCAGACACGACTTAGAGACTAAACCACCACCACCACCGTGTTCCTACCTAACGCCTCTGGAAGGGGTTCACAATGCCCCTGGAGGTGGGGCAGCACTGTACCATCGCCTGGAGAAGTCGAGTGCCTACTGGGTTCTGAGCCTATTCTGAGAGAGTAGGAAGACCTCTTCTACATGTTCTGCTTTGCCCGGATTCTCCAAAGAGCTCAGGACCAGGGCTACAGGAGTCCAGGGAAATCTTCTTTGAGGAACTGGAAACTGAGATGGTGCTGATATCAGGCACGGCTGCCCAAATAAACAGGGTCATGGTCCAGACGCAGAAATAGCCAGGTCTGCCCTTAGGCTCCGGCTGGGAAAATTTAGGTTGGCATCAGCACTTGTAGGCGTCATGCTTCCCCGTGTTGAGACCAGTCCTCTGTTTTACTTCTGAGGAGTTGCGCCTCTCACGCTGAGATATTCCTACCCCCAGGATGAAAGGATGTGCTGGAACACCTCTGGCTTTTCTGGCAGGTAAGGACTAACGTGGCACTTCCCAGGTGGCTCAGTGGTAAAGAATCCACTGCAATACTGGAGACTTGGGTTTGATCCCTGGGTCAGGAAGATCCCCTGGGGAAGGGAATGGCTACCCATTCTAGTATTCTTGCCCAGAAAATTCCATGGACAGAGGAGCCTGATGGGCTACAGTCCGTGGGGTCACAAGAGTCAGACACAATTTAGGGTCAAAACAACAACAAAGTACTAACATGTGCTTGTGAACTTGAAGCCCCTTTCACTGGCCGCCAGAACCCACCTGCTTGTGGGCAGAGAGACCAGGCTGTCTCATGCTCCCCAGGGCACTTTCATAGGCCCATGAATCAGCTCAGAACCTAGTCACAGGGTCAGCTGATCCATCCCCTCCTTCCATATCTTGACCGCCAGGCACAGTTACAGCCTTGGATCTGAAAGTTGCAACCATGGTGTCTGCATGCTCTGCCTGGGGCTGTGGAGCCTGGAGAACCATTGTTGTGCCTGAAACTAGAAACCTTGATGTTGCCCCTGTGAAGGAAGGATGTTTCTGCCTCCATCTATCCCCTACAGCGTTTATTCTGTCAAACTGTCACTCCACATTAAACAGACACTGCCTAGGGCGGCCTGACAGATGAGTTCTGGTATCAGCTGAGACTCTGGACATGCACCCGCCCTTTTCGCTACTCCTCAAGTCCTGTGTCCAGGTCTGGGTCACTGTCCTCATGGCTGAGTTCCTGCTTGGGCCACATGCTGTCTTTTGGAAAACTGGCCTCCATGTGACATCCGGATGATGGAGGAGAGTTCCTGCAGGGTCTGCTCAAGCTCTCTGTACATAATCAGGTGCCAGGGGCTGCTCATGGGGAGAAGTGCCTCCAGTGCCAACCGTGTTAGCTCTGGCTTTATCCAGTTGGCATGCCCGTTGGCACTCGGCCTGAGGAGTCCAGGCTGGCAGGGCTTCACTGAATGGTACTCTCTTTTCTAGATGGTTCCTGAGATGCAATGACCCCTTGAGACCAGGGGAGAAGTGTGTAAGACCATGGGTTCTTGGATTTCATGGTCTCAAGTGCCACCCCACAGTGCTAAAGTGATAGTATGTGTGGTTTTCTTTCTTTTATTCAGGGACGATAATAGAAGGGAGAGCTGAGATTTCTATAGCCCTCACGCTCAATTGCAGGCAGAAAGATTCTAGGGAATGGAGTGGGAGCATCTTTAGGAGGAAAGAGAAACAGTCAGGGTCCTCACGGCTTGGGGGAGTGAAGAAGAGAGGCCCTGGCACCCGGCAGGACTGACCAGGCCAGCCAGAAGCAGATCCCACAGCTACACGTGGGATGTCAGCTTGCTTGGCCAGGTCTGGCTCAGCAGAAGTTTGGAAAGTGTCTAAGAAAGGCACTCAGCCCATTCTGCTCTCCCAAGAGCAGGTGTTCTTGACCAAGAAACCATGCCTGCCTAACTCCTAAGAATGACTTTTCCAAGGTTGAATTTCTGGAATCAGCTGGAGGGGATGCTATATTTTTATATATAATTCCTTCAGTCACTCTGTAAAGTTTTCTTTATTCAATTTTTGAAGCTGTAGCTCTGCCAAGCTTCAGAGGGTCATTTAAGTCATTTATTACCTCCTGCAGCCATGAAATTAAAAGATGCTTGCTCTTTGGAAGAAAAGCTATGACAAACCTAGACAGTGTATTAAAATACAGAGACATTTAAATACAGAGACATCACTTTGCTGACAAAGGTTCATATAGTCAAAGCTATGGTTTTTCTAGTATTCATGTACGGATGTGAAAGGTGGACCATAAAGAAGGCTGAGCACCGAAGAATTGATGCTTTCCAACTGTGGTTCTGGAGAAGACACTTGAGAGTCCCTTGGACAGCAAGGAGATCAAACCAGTCAATCCTAAAGGAAATCAACCCTGAATATTCATTAGAAGGACTGATGCTGAAGTTCCAATACTTTGGCCACCTGCTGCAAAGACTCATTGGAAAAGACCCTGAGGCTGGGAAAGATTGAAGACAAGAGGAGAAGGGGGTGACAGAGGATGAGACTGTTGGATGGCATCATTGATTCAATGGATATGAGTTTAAGCAAATTCCGGGAGATAGTGAAGGTTTCCCTGGTGGCTTAGACAGTAAAGCATCTGCATGCAATGCAGGAGACCCGGGTTCAAACCCAGGGTCAGCAAGATCCCCTGGAGAAGGAAATGGCAACCCACTCCAGTACTCTTGCCTGGAAAATTCCATGGACTGAGGAGCCTGGTAGGCTACAGGGTTGCAAAGAGCTGGACATGACTGAGTGCCTTCACTTTTCACTTTTTCACTCAGTGAAGGACGGGGAAGCCTTGTGTGCTGCAGACCCTGGGGTCAGAAAGCCAGACACGACTGAGGGCCTGAACAACCACAACAACAGTCACCTCCTGTGTCCCAAGGTGGGAGGAGGCAGTCCTGAGGGGTCCCGGACTCTCAGCAGCTCTGGCCAGTAGGGAATGGGACCAGGAAGAGAGAAATAGCATGGGTGCAGGACTAGAAGAGGTCTCCAGGGAGACACAGGTCACACTGTCTGCAGGGATGTCACTGACACTGATTTCATTGAGTTTTTATTTATTTGTCTATGCACAACAAATTGAACCAGTGGCCCCTGAAGTAGAAGCGCAGTCTTAACCCTGGACCACCACAGAAGCCCCACACTGAGTTTTTATTGTTGAAGGAGATGGGGGCCAAAACTTGATGGGCTTGGGCAATGGGAGAACGAAAGGAGGATGGATCTGAGTGTCCAGCTCAGAAGGATTGCGGGAAGATATGGACCACTGAGCTAAGTAGAATAAATCAAACCCCACTCTTTCAAGTAGGAAAGAGAATAGCAACAAAAGGAAGTTAAAGGGATAGATGGTCCCAGGGATAGGGGTCTTGGTTGTCATGGCAACTGAACTGAGAGTGGCTGAGACTTTCAACCTGAAAGAAATGACTCTTGAGTGGTTTTCTTTTTTTCCTCAATAATAGAGCAACCCAGAGCCATGATAGAACAGAGTGAGAGAGACCTGATTCAGCTTATCAGTGCCAGAATGAAATAGAATGTCACAAATGGATTCAAGGTAATTTAGAGCACAGCAGTCCTGCCTGCTGGGAAACCAGTGGGGAGAAGGGTCTTTCACCATAATGCATGGAGACTGTGCTGCAAAGAGAAACCTTTAGTGCTCCCCGCAGAAAGAGTTGGAAATCCAAAGCCATCATTATCTCTAGAATCCATCATGCTCTCCAGGAAGGGCATCAGAAGTCCTTATAGCCATATTTGTCATCTTCCTTTCCAACTATAAAAGGAGCTCTGTTTCATTACACGCTTTTCTTAAGGTGCCCAAACTGCTTACACCCCTTTCTGGATGATAGGTGAAGTCAGTCCATTTCACAGTTCACACTATTGTGGAAACAGTGGGAAATCAGAACCAAATGGATCTCTATGCATTTCCGGTTTATTAGTCTGTGACACTAGGTACCTAAATGGGAAGTTGCAAGATTCTGTTGAAGAGTTTTCGACTTGCTATGGGAGCAGGGATGGGGGCTCTGATGATGGTGTTACTCGATTTTTATTGGTCAGCTTGTGCTGCCTAACAAAATCTCACAGACTGAGTAGCTGAAACTGCAGCCATTTATTTCTCACAGTTTTGGAGAATTTGGGTGGAGCAGATCAGAGCAATCTAGTAATTTGTACTGACTTCCTATTTTTGTCTTGAGGGAAGAAAACCACTGTGATAAGAAAAGTTTTTATCCTTTGAGGCTTTGTTAATAGATAGCAATTAGCAAAATGAAAGTGCTAAAAGATCATTAAGTTTAAAACATTGACCATAGAATTGCAATTAAGTTAGTATATTTAAGTCTCATACTAAGTGCCTAAGAAGAAGAATGTTTTTATGAAATTCTTTTTTAATGATAAATAGGGAGGACCAAGCAAGGATAAAAGATGTTCTTGACAGTAAGCCCAGAACAAATGGATCAGAAAGATGTAATGGAGCTGAAAATAGAACCACATGTGTATACTGAAAAGGCTCAGTGTTCCAGGAAAGACCAATGATAAGAATATTACACTGAATCCCATCCTGTCAAAAATAGCTAAACATATAATTACAGAGATAAAGGGGGAATTTCATATGTGTTCACACACTAGAAAGATAATTCTGACTGAAATCAGACAGTAGAGTTGCAGAACAGAATGCTCAAAGACAATGGAACAAAGTCTAAATCAATTTTGAAGGTGAGAAATTGTGATAAAATATATATTGTAGCACAATATGTTGTTAGTTAATGAAAACAACAGAAGACATTCTGAGATATGCGAAGAAAACGTAACAGCCACGTGCCCATCTCTTAAAGTTACTTAAAAATATAATTTAAAGTATACTTTAAAAATATACTAATGAGATGGATGAAACTGGAGCCCATTATACAGAGCGAAGTAAGCCAGAAAGATAAAGACCATTACAGTATACTAACACATATATATGGAATTTAGAAAGATGGTAACGATAACCCTATATGCAAAACAGAAAAAGAGACTCAGATGTATAGAACAGACTTGTGGACTCTGGGAGAAGGCGAGGGTGGGATGTTTCAAGAGAACAGCATCGAAACATGTATATTATCTAGGGTGAAACAGATCACCAGCCCAGGTTGGGTGCAGGAGATAAGTGCTCGGGCCTGGCGCACTGGGAAGACCCAGAGGGATCGGGTGGAGAGGGAGGTGGGAGGAGGGACCGGGATGGGGAATACATGTAAATCCATGGCTAATTCATTTCAATGTATGACAAAAACCACTGCAATGATGTAAAGTAATTAGCCTCCAACTAATAAAAATAAATGGAAAAAAAAATATACTTCTGTTGACTACAGAAAGATGCATCAAAAAAAGAAGTATGGAGATGCCATGGCAAGATAAGACCAGTGGGGAAACTTAAATAGTAAGAACAGAAAACATTACTATTGTTCTCAAAAATCACTGCAGATGGTGACTGCAGCCATGAAATTAAAAGACACTTGCTCCTCGGAAGAGAAAATATGACAAACCGAGATAGTATATTAAAATACAGGGACATGATTTTGCTGACAAAGGTTCATCGAGTCAAAGCTATGGTTTTTCCAGTAGTCATGTACGGCTGTGAGAGTTGGACCATAAAGAAGGCTGAGTGCGGAAGAATTGAGGCTTTCACATTGTGGTGCTGGAGAAGACTCTTGAGAGTTCCTTGGACAAAAAGGAGATCAAATCAGTTAATCCTAAAGGAAATCAACCCTGAATATTTGTTGAAAGGACTGATGCTGAAGCTGAAGCCCCAGTACTTTGGCCACCTGGTGTGAAGAGCTGACTCATTGGAAAAGATCCTGATGCTGGGAAAGACTGAGGGCAGGAGGAGAGTGGGGTGCAGAGGATGAGATGGTTGAATGGCATCAGTGACTCAATGGACATGAGTTTGAGCAAATTCTGAAAGACAGTGAAGGACAGGGAAGCCTGATGTGCTGCAGTCCATGGGGTCGCAAAGAGTCGGACACGACTCTGATGGAACAACAGGGCAACTCTAAATCTGACTGTGGCAATATACAAAACCTGCAGACCTATCTCATTTATAAATACAAATGCAAAAACCTAAAAAATACCCTGTGCAATGGTATATTAGATACATAACAGAAACAAAAATTCCACACAAATTTAGAATTCAACTTAGTTTTTTTTCATAGTGTTATGAGTGTAGAAATTCTGAAAATATTGTTGTGGTAGTTTAGATTTGAGAAAATGAGTAAACGTACTGTGAGGGACAGACACAGATATTGCCTGTAGGAAGACATGGGAGAAGCCTGTGGTGTTGGATGGGAATTAGAGGGATATAATATTTATAAATCATGGGATTATCAAGGAATGGTCTCTGTCCTACCAACACGCAGCTGATTGGATTTCTGAATTGCTATGGACCAGTGACTGCTCTATATTATCCATTTCCCCCTGTTTGAATGCAAGTGTCTATAGCCTGTGTCATCATTATATTTAGAAAGAGGGGGAGGCTAACTTGTCCTTCAGTTCACAAGTCTTTGGTTCCACAGAAGGTGTACCTACAGGGCTACATCCAATGAACCACATCTAAGGAACTTACCTGATTTGAACCTGATTTAGATGATGAGGTCCTGGACTTTGTTCCAGTCCTGCAATGAGTGAGACTTATTGGTATGGGAGGGGGGTGAGTGTCCTCTGCATGTGGGAAGGATGTTATTTGCTGTGGTCAGAGTGTAGACTATGGTAGGCTGTTTCTGAAGACAGTGGCAACATTTCTTGCCAAATAACATTCCCTTTGAAACATGGCTTTGCCATTTATCCTATCAAGAGGTACAGCCTATTTCCCCTCCTTTTGAATTTGGCCTGGTGATTTGCTTGGACTGATGGTATGTGGCAGAAGTAACACTATACAAGCATGAAGGGGCTTGGTCAATACCATGTGGAATAAAGATAAGGCATCCACGTGGAGCTCTTCCTACATTTCTGGCCCACAGACTAGTGAACAATAAGATGACCGCTCCTTGAACTTTGGGGTCATTTGTTACACAGCAATAGGTAGCTAATATGCTATCAAAGAGCCCTGGGGTCATTTCAAAAGAACTCAGGAGCTGACGTGAAGAGACTCTCACTCACTGATAAGCAATTTGAGCAGCAATAAAGATATTAACTGCAATGGTTTGGAGCGCATTAAATATTTAAATCCACGAGCTCAAGATACTTTATAGGAAAAAAAAAAACTCTCCGTGTCTATCTTTATAGGCTATTAGGGAAACAACTCATTAACGTGAACATTTTAAATAAAGAATACAGAATTTATCCTTTATTTCCTATACAAACTGTACTTCAAGCTAACCTAATATTATTGAAGGGAGTCCTTTGCAGAAGAATTCTAACTAATAAATATAGAAGGAATAGAGTGCTTGTGTGCTCAGTCATGTCCAGCTCTTTGCAACACTTTGGGGTATAGCCTGCCACTGTCCATTGGATTTTTCAGCAAGAATATTGGAGTGGGTTGCCATTTCCTCCTCCAGGGGATCTTCCTGACCCAGGGATCAAACCCGCATAGAAGGAGTAACAGAATCTAAATATCATCATTTTGCAAACCCTAATGAATTGGGTTTAGGCAATAAGCATCAGTGGCTGCTAAAATCATTAGGGGAAATTGTGATGTGTAACAGATGGGTCAGGCTGATAACACCTGAAACTGCTTAAGATCTTAACACTAAAAATGAATACACAGATCCCCCCTGGAAAGTCTCTATACTCAACAGTCAACTTGAAACAACCTTCCCCAAACCTGAATCTAAGTAAGCCTCTAGATCTAACTTTTAGGTCTAAAAAAAATGCCAGAGAGAAAAAACACATGCCACTAAGAGCATGAGGGATTCCCTCGTAGCTCAAATGGTAAAGAATCTACCAACAATGCAGGGTTCAATCCCTGGGACAGAAAGATCCCCTGCAGAAGGGAAAGGCTATCCACTCCAGTATTCTTGCCTGGAGAGTTCCATGGACAGAGGAGACTGGCGGTCTATAGTCCACGGAATTGCAAAGAGTAGGATACCACTGAGCAACTAACACTTTCACTTTCACAGGAGGATGTAGAAAAACCCAGAATATGGGAATCCCAGTCTAGTGGTTAGGACTGTGCTCTCACTTGAGAGGGCACAGGTTCGATGTTTGGTCAGGGAACTAAGATCCCACAAACCAGGCAGCATAGCCAAAAATGAAAACAAAGAACTAAGGCTCCAATACTTTGGCCACCTGATGCGAAGAACTGACTCATTGGAAAAGACTCTGAAGCTGGGAAAGATTGAAGGCAGGAGGAGAAGGGGACAACTGAGAATGAGATGTTTGGATGGCATCACTGACTTGATGGGCATGAGTTTGAGCAAGTACTGGGAGTTGGTGATGGACAGGGAAGTCTGGCATGCTGCAGTCCATGGCGTTGCAAAGTCAGACACGACTGAGCAACTGAACTGAACTGAAGGTCCCACAAGCTGCATGGTGTGGCCAAAAGAAGGAAAAAGAAAATTCCAGAACATGAAAAATTTTGTAGGGCAAAGACCCCAGGTTATACAATAAGTAGACAGCAAGGAAGAAAGGAAGTGGGGGATTTACAGATGAAAAGAACCTTAAGAGACAGATTAGCTAAATTCAGTGTGTGAAAGTAGTTAGGATACCAATTTAAACAAATCACTTGGAAAAGGATTTATGAGACAATGAAGAGAATGTGAACAGTGGTGAGGTATTTAATGCTATTAAGAAACTATTCAATTTTTGGGGGGGGGGAGTGAAATACAAAAAAAATAAAAGGAGGTGGAGGACATGATGATTCTACGTAGAGTCTGGATTTGAGTGAAGAGGGCAGCCAATAACATCCCAGAGTCGTTGGCAATCTAAGGATGGCCAGGGTATCATTATCTGGATCCTGAAGCTGGGATGCTTTAGTTCATCCAGAACAGGATCAAGGATGAGCCTGGAAGCTGTTCTCACTGGCTTCATGAAAAATAAACACTTCTTTGAGGTTCTTTTCAAATTCTGCCTCTAAATCCAGTCCTACCTGACCAAAGTCGGAAGCCTGAAAGAGAGAGAAAAAAAAGCAAGTACACAGGGGCCTAAAGACAGAGAATTAGGATCATAGATCACTCATGCTTTTTGAGAAGATCTGCTCTCCCTGCCCGAAAGCTGCACGCCCCCAGGTGGCAAGCAGAACAGGGCAGAAGGGAGAGGCTGCCACTCAGATGTTCAAATGCATGAGGCTCTGCCTGGTTGTTAACCTGGACCCAACAGGTGGTCTGGACCAAAGAGCTGATTTTGACCCCTGCAAAGCCTAACCTTGGGGTAAACCAGATAAAGCTTTTCTTGAAAGCCCACTGTCTGAAGGAAAGATGACCCCTTCCATTCTCCAAGGCTAAGACTGTGCCAGGCATTGAAGGGCTCCCTGGGTTGATTCTTTCCCCCTCCAGCTCCACGGTTGGACACCAGTTTATAGTCTGTGACTCATGAACACGCCAACTGGTGGCAAGCAGGGAGGGAAGGAGGCTGGGTGGAATTGAGAATTAGCTTTATATATGTCCCAAGAAATATCTGGACAAGTGAGAGTTAAAAATCAGAGTAAACGCAATAAACTAAAGTTAAGAATGCCTTGGATTGCAATACAGTTCAACCAGTTGCTCTTCCTACCAATGAAAGATGAAATCAACACCAGCTGAGAGCAAATCTGGGTGTTTGGGTCCACTGGGAAACTCAGGAGTAAAAAAATCTGAGCATGAGCATCCTGAAAGTTTAATTCATTTCATCTTAATTAATTCATTTCTGTATTTCTGAGGCATGAAGGACCATGTAAGCATAAACTGCCTACCCCCGTCCCCGCCCCACCCCATTTGAACAAGGAAGCAGGATGAAATTGACCATTCTCAGTGGGTATGGCCTGTCCTTCTGGGACTGAAGATGAAATTTTTTTTCAGGTACCATTTACCAGGACCCTGCTTGCTATTCTTTTTGACATCCTCCTCTCCACCTCTGGGGCTTCTCTGGTGGCTCAGTCGTAAAGACTCCACCTGCAATGTGGCAGACCTGGGTTTGATCCCTGGGTTGGGAAGATCCCCTGGAGAAGGGAATGGCTACTGATGACAGTATCCTGGCCTGAAGAATTCCATAGATTGTATAGTCCATGAGGTTGCAAAGAGTCAGACACGACTGAGTGACTTTCAGTTTCTTTCTCCACCTCTGAGATTGGGAGACAGCTTCCTTCTATAATTCTTGCTTTTTGAGCTCTCCCCAGGACAAGACTAGGCACGATTCTTGCAAAGCTCTGCTGTCCCAGAAATGAGGAGGAAGTAGAAAGGATGTGAAAGGGAGGCAGGAAATTCCCTTTACCTTGTAAAATGTTTTGTGGTTGTGAAATATCAGACGCATGTCCCGTAAAAACCAAGCCATTGTGTACACTTTCTCAGTCAGCCTTTCTTTAACCAGGTCCAACCACATGGCTTCCCTAAAGGGCTCACCATAATCTCGAATCTAGGGGCAAAGACATCAAAGAGGTGATGTGAGCACAGGCAATGTCACTGGAATGGATCCAACACCAGCCTTTTTTGCAGGGTAATACCCAAGTGGCTTAGTGGGTAAAGAATAAGCCTGCCAATACAGGGGATGCAGGCAGATGGGAGTTCGATCCCTGGGTTGGGAAGATACCCTGCAGGAGGGCAGGGCAACCCACTCCAGTATTCTTACTTGGAGAATCCCATAGGCAGAGGAGCCTGGTGGGCTACAGTGCATAGGGTCTCAAAGAGTTGGTCATGACTGAAGCGACTAAGCACATATGCATGCACTGATAATGATATCTGATGTCTATGTGCCAGGCATTGTTCTAAGCACTGCCGATACATTAATATATGAACTCCACAACAGCCGTAAGAGATTGTTACTATAATCACCCCAGTTTTATTGACGAGAAACCAGGTAATGGAGAGGTTAAGTAACCTATCCAAAATTTCACAGCTAAAAATTGGTTGAGTTACATTGAACCCATAGTTCAAGTCTCCTGAGTCTGTACCCTCAACCCTATGCTCTCTATAAGAAAGACATTCCCATTGAAGAGAAAGAGAAACTAAGATACTGTGTCCCAGAGCCGGTATGCAATGCCTGTGAAGCAGGCAGCCCCACTCTAGAGCCTGCAGCTAAACCTTCCACCCTCGACAAACAGAGATGCCCGCAGGACGCACACTCCACATTTCTAAAATGAGTTTAACAGCAGACGGATGCCCAGAGGATGAAAAATGTCGAACAGAACTTACATTAAGTGGGGTCTCCGCAAAGAAAGAGCTTTGTGGATGACAGTAGGCTTTCAAGAGGAGAAACTCACATTTCTGTAAAATACGAAGAGGGATTTAAAGGCAAATGCAGTTTGGAGAAAGTGAGGCCAAGCCTTTGCCCAGAAACCACACACAGGAGCAGCCAGACACAACCAGCCTTCCAACTGCATCTGCCAAGGTGCCGTGGTGGGGAGGTGGATGTTGAATTCTGTCTGTCCTCCACGTTTGGGCGCTGAAGCTCCATCCTCGGAAGTGAGACACTGAAGGCTTTCTTTGGGTGCCTTTCCCTGGACCTTCTGCCTGTTTGAGTGGAAGGTGAAGGCTTGGGTCCCCATCCAACTCACCAGCTGCTCCCCCGGCTGCATGGACCTTGCCCAAACTTCAGATTTCTGGAGACGCTGCTGGTTTCCTGAAGACTCCTTCATCCTGCAGAAGGTGCAACTCCACGGGCTCCTGCGGGGCCGGGCATAAGTGAGCGAGGACAAGGCCCCTGGTAACAGCCACCGTTTTCCTTTTCCTGATGAATACAGCCAGGGAAGGAAGGGGCCACCTCCTGGAGTCTCCAAGATTCCCAAGGCAGAGGGGGTTGGGGGTGGGGGGCAGGGGGGTGGGAGTAGAGTGCAGGAAGGGGTCCCACTGAGAGAGCGACAAAGCAGTCAGAGTGTGGAGGGCAGTGTCAGGGTGAGAGGTGGGTTCTCCTCTCCTCTCTGCCCTCCCGGGGCACAAGGAGCGCTGGGCAGTCGGCTGGAGTATCAGAAACTGGGTCTTAACCCCCTGGGTGACTGAGGCTCCGTCAGCCTGTTGAGACTGTGGGGGAAATCGGAGAAGCAGGCCACGTTTCCTGCCTTTTCTGAGAAATCACAGAGCACAAATGGTGTTTTTCCGCCCTTTGGACGGGAGTCTGGGTTACGAAACCCGGAAAGGACAACTCCCAGGGGCAGGGGCAGTGTGGGGGTCAGCGTGACTCAGCCGCAGACTCAGAGGCACTGATGCCACAGGGAACACAGGCTGCGGGCCGATGGGGCTACTCGGGGTCACGGGGGCAGGGCCCAGGATGTCCAGGATGCTCCCGGGCCTGCGGCTCTTCCAACCAGAGATGAGCGATCAGAGGCGGAGCCCGGCCGGGGCTGCGTCTCACTAACCTCTCAGCCTCCGCGGGTGGGATGTGACAGTGCTCGTGAAAGGCTCGCAGGCAAGTGTCACAGCGGAGCAGCGAGCCCCCTTTACAGCACACCTCACATTCCTTGGAGTGTTCCTGCTGGAAGGGGATTGTAGCTGAGACGGGGTGCCCCCACTCCCCGGGCCTGGGCCAGAGATGCTCTCAGCCGCTGTGCGCAGGCCCAGGTAAGCTCGTGGGCAACCCCGAGAACAGTCCCTGGGGTTACGCTGACACACGGAGGGACGTACACAAAGACCCAGAGCTGTTGTGTCAATGGGTTGTTTGGTTGGTGGTGGTGGTGGGCGGGGGGTGTTGCTCGGGATCCGTAAGGGTCTTTCTCGTGGCCGTAAAATGTAACCTAATACGTTCTGCAAGTGACTTATGTGAGAGGCGTGAGCCTTACAGTTGGATAAAGATTCACGTGGTGCTGGGAAAGACTGAAGGCAAAAGGAGAAGGGGGAAAAGGGGTGCCAAAGTGCCGCACTGCGGTCCTTTCCCCCCACGACAGATGGTGGGTGGTCAGGAAATAGACCACCAGGAGCCAGAGCAAAGGCTCAAAACAACTGAGAATCAGTTAGAACCAAGGAGAGGACCCTGCCCCCACCGCCACTGTCCCTAACACAAATATGAGCACTCTGAGGAGATGGTTGGATAGCATTATGGACTCAGTGGCCTCGAATTTGAGCAAACTCTGGGAGATAGTGGAGGACAGAAGAGCCTTGCATAGTGCGGTCCATGGGGTTGCAAAGAGTTGGACATGACTTGGCTGACACGACTTAGCAACTGAACAACAACAAAGATTCACAGATGGGAGTCCTGATTCTGCTCCCAGCTCCACAAGACAGACAGGGTAGGGCTCCACACAAGTCAACTGCTCAGTCGTGTCGGACTCTTTGTGACCTCACTGACTCTAGCCCGCCAGGCTCCTCTGACTGTGGGATTCTCCAGGCAAGGATACTGAAGTGGGTAGTCATTCTCTTCTCCAGGGTATCTTCCCAACCCAGGGATCAAACCTGGGTCTCCTGCCCTGCAGGTGGATTCTTTACCATCTGAGCCACCAGGGGAACCCTCCACATGCACACGGGGATCTTTTCTCTGCACGAAGGGTAGGAATCTGGAAGAGGGATCCTTCTTCCTGTGCCCCACTGTGGTGCTCTCACCCCAAGACAGATGGTGGGTGGTTAGGAAATAGACCACCAGGAGCCAGAGCAAAGGCTCAAAGCAACTGAGAATCAGTTACAACCAAGGAGAGGACCCTGCCACCACCCCCACTGTCCCTAACACAAATATGAGGAGCCTGACCAAGGGCAGCAGGGACGGGAATGTTTAGTCCATTTGCAAAACTAGCCACTCAGCCAAAGGGAAACGTCTTCCTGAGCTGGGATGGTGTTCATCTCTCTTAGCTGGGGAGGCTTCCTGAGCGCCCTCTCCACTTCCTAAGCCCCAAGGCCTCCTAAGGAGTGCTCCATAACCCTGAAGGTCAAAGAATGTTTCTGGCCTTCCCCTCCTGGACTTGCCAGTCTGCCTCTCTCTGTCTTTAGGGTTGACACCCGACAGCCATTCTTGCCTTGATGACACCTGGCCCGCGCTGCTCCAGAGTATAGATGCCAGTGCAGACCTACCTGCTCCTCCTGATGGAGAACCTGGTTGGGCCCAGAGCCCTGATACCCCTGCCCCCTACCTCCTGGTTCTGGAGTGAAAGTTTCAAGCACACATGATACGACAGGGAAATGACAGAGAAAGGATGCACATACCCATGGTCACACTCTAATAAAGAATCTGACTCTGGTTTTTATATTTGATGACTGGTGGTTTCTCTAAGTCCTCCCTCTTCCGCTCTTGGCACACCTGGGCAAGGTGCTAAGAAAACTCATGGGCTCCCTCTCTCGGCCACAGTGAGAAGTTCAAGTTGGACAGACCTCGCCCCAGCAAAGGAACCCTCAAATTAGCCACACGAAGTGAAGAAGTGAAAGTTACTCAGTCGTGTCCGACTCTTTGTGACCCCATGGACTATACAGTCCATGGAATTCTCCAAGCCAGAATACTGGAGTGGGTAGCCTTTCCCTTCTCCAGGGGGTCTTCCTGACCCAGGAATTGAACTGAGGTCTCCTGCATTGCAGGCAGAATTCTTTACCAATTGAGTTATCAGGGAAGCCCTTGGCCACATCCCTAACCATAATAAACCTTGGCTGTACCCTTTCTTGGGGTGGTGCTAGTGGTAAAGAACCCTCCTGCCCCTGCAGGAGACATAACAGGCTCAGGTTCGGTCCCTGGTTTGGAAAGATCCCCTGGATAAGGAAATGGCAACCCACTCCAGTATTCTTGCCTGGGAAATCCCATGGACAGAGGAACCTGGCAGACTACAGTCCATATGGTCTCACAGAGCTGGACACGACTGAAGTGATGTAGCACGCATATCCTTTTTTCACTCCAGTCACTTTCAGACCTGCTAGGGTGTCTGCCTTGCCTCTCTCCAGATCTCTGTATATGAGCAATAAATCTTTTATTTTCTCTTGGCACATGTGTTGCATCATTGGTTTCAACATCTGAACCCAGTTTTTAGTGCAGGGCTGAGCTCACTTACCTGCAGGCAACCACAATACAGTTGGGTTGGCAAGCAGGAGACTGGGTGACCATTCCAACCTAGGGGTCTCTGGATTGCTAACCGGCTTAGGTCCCTGCTGACTTACGCGCGAAGTTATGTTGTTCTCTTCTGGGCACTGAGGTTGCCATCAGCCACCAGGGGGCACCATCCGTTCTTTCCAAGTTTAAGGGCAGGCCATGTCGGACATTTAGATGGAGAAAAAGTAGAGATAATCACTGTTGCTCTAAACAGATCTTGTATGGGCTTTCCTGGTGACTCAGTGGTAAAGAATCCACCTGCCAATGCAGGAGACTCGGGTTTTATCCCTGGGTCAAGAAGGTCCCCTGGAGAAGGAAATGGTAACCCACTCCAGTTTTCTTGCCTGGGAATTCCCATGGACAGAGGAAGCTGGCAGGTTACAGTCCATGGAGTCACAAAAGAGTTGGACAAAACTTAGGGACTAAATAACAACACAACAACATGATAAATTTCTATTCTTGAAGTCCCTGCTTTAATTTCTACTGAGTTCTATTAACTATTTTAACAGAGTGGAAGTTCCATGGGCTCCAGTATATAAAACTGATTGTGTCAAAGATTTAATTTTATTTTTTACTTCATCATTTGTCAGCTCAAAGCATCCATGCCCACTACAGGATAGTTTTGAGCAGTGGGTGTTATGGCCCTGGGGCATTTAGGTAAGGCAGCAGTTTTGATGGTTAAGGTGAGGTATACCTGTTTGTCTTCTGTTTTATGTTTGGCAAGTCCCCTGAAATGATAGTAGGTACCTTGTTTAAATTTAATGGGATGCAATTACTCACAAAGGACCCCATGATATAACCGATATCAAGGCTGTTACTGATGCCATCCACTTAGCAACTGGCAAATGCTTTACATTCACAGATTTGGCTCATATGTTCTGTTCAGTGCCTATCTCAACAGCATCTCAGCTGGAGTTGGCCTTCCCCTTTGCAGGCCTACAACACACCTTTACCTGGCTATCCTGGGGTACTTTGACAGCTTTGCTATCACACACAGTCTCTTCGGACAAGATCGTAGCTGCAGCCAACTTCCCCCAGGAACACAGGAATGGTACCACATAGATGCAACACTTCTCATTTGACATATTACGAATATACAGCTACAGAAAGGAACTCAGGAGAAGGGAAGGGCCATCACCGCACATGTAGAACAAGGCCCTACCTGCTCAGCAAATTCCTGGGCATTGTTTGGTCAGATGAGGGCTGCTCTATCCCTGACATTGTTAAGAAACAATGACTGACCCTCTTAAAACTCAGTCCAACAACAACTGCCCAACATTTTAAAGCCTTTTGAGTTCTGAAAGTAACACCGTCCTCATGTACAGATTTTACTTATACTCAGTTAAACTGTTGGTTGCAAATCAGCCCACTTGAATGGGCTTGTTGTTACTGTTCAGCCACCCGGTCATGTCTTTGCAACCCCATGGACCACACATGCCAGGTTCCTCTGTCCTTCATCATCTCCGGAAATTTGCTCAAACTCATGCCCATTGAGTCCATGATGCTATCTAACCATCTTGCTATCTAATCTGAATGGGGACCCCTCAACAAAAAGTTCTAGGATTTGTTCAAAAAGTTAAAGAAAAAAAAAAGCAAAAAGCAGAAGCTGTCAGTTTCACCCTATATGCCTTTTGTATAGCAACAGTAGGCTGCATACTGGGCCCTTCCAGTGGTGGAGATTCTCACAGGCCCGGAGCCCCTGATTCTCTGCACCAGCTGCCCAGGTTGCCTTGGGGTCCTGGGAGCAGCACCCTGTAGGCCAGCCACAAAGCAAACATTTGCAGTATTGGGTTGGCCAAAAAGTCCATTCGAGGTTTCCCATACAATGTTATGGAAAAATCCAAATGCACTTTTTGGCCAGCCCAATATCAGCATCAGATATCTTGCTGGTACACAGAAGCAGAGCAAAGTGCCAGGAAAGACTTGGTATACTGCAGCGTGACGGTGGCGTGTTGGGGGAAGGGCCTGCATTGGTCCATTTGCAATCAGAACTAAACTTGGTTTTCTTTACCTCACTGTGACTCCTGATGGGGTGGTGGGGGGACTGAAAGGTCAAGTGTGCCCCTGGCTGTCATTTGCTGACATGTAGCATTATGAGTAAGAAGGAACTATAATACTGGGGCCATTAACTAATGATCTGGATTTTAAAAATCTTTATTTCTTTCTGGTTACAAGAGTAATAAATGATCATTATAAAAATTTCACCTGTACATAAGTATATAACATGGAAGGCAAATGTCCCTTGTCATCCCATCCCAGAATAACAGACTCTTCCAGATGTTTTTTCAGTCATAGCCCTACACATTCACATAAACAAAACTGTGCTCCTTCTGTACATGTTATTACCGGTTTAAGCTTCCTGAAGCTTTCCTGACCTTAACACCCTTAGGTGACTATAGGATGAATATATACTTGCAAAACTTCCATTTTTAATAACCACCATTCTGTTGATTATCAGTTTACTTTAGAGTACTGATGGACATCTATATTCTTCCTTATTTTTTTTTTTTTTTGCTATTACAAGGAACCTTCCTAAACATATCAAGGTATTTAAAATCAGCACGGAAAAGGTTATTTATATAATAAACAGCTTTGGAAGACCATTGCCTTATCAACTTTGAGTGAATCTAGCCAAGGGTCAGGCTAACCTCCTGGGCAAGATGGAAGAGGCATCATTGCATCTATTGGAGGTCCGTATCTAATGGGAAGCCCATGAATGGGACTCAAGACTGGAAGGCCTATCTATGTAAGTACAGGCACCTGAGGAGGAGGAGTGGGTACAGCCAATGAATGAATGCCATTGGGAGGCTCTGCAGAGACAAAGCTCAGTTCAAACACATTATTCCATTCTGCAGCTACCAATGAGGAGCATGTCGAAGTTAGGAATACTTGGAGTTCAATCAAGGATGATCTTCTTACTCTTACTTCTTACTATTTATCTATTCTTGTCTATTTCAATACCGTATTTACTTTTCAAACTAGAGCACTCTATTTCTGACATATTTGGTTGCTGATCATCCAAATATACAAATCTTTTTTGTAGAACACATGCTAGTGTCCCCATCTTCATTTTAAAGAGTTATCTGCTTCCCTATCTTAAGTTAACTATGAACATAAAGGCGGCATGTACAAGCATCAGTGTGCTAAAGCACTCGTCAGGAAACCGCACTGCTGATACGGGAAGGTGACTTGGGCCTGGGAAGGTCGAGGACGCCCATACTAGCCTTGGCACATGGAAAGTCTGCAACATGGTGGCTGAGAATGTGATAGGAATTCACCTGCTATTTACCTCTCTCTTGAGATGTTTTTTTGAAGGACAGAGCAAAATTCCTTCCTGCAAGAGAGGACGGGTCAATGAATGGGACTGTTCTGAAGGCTTTTCTTTTGTAAATATCCAAGTCCCCACTTGTGAATGAATATTTGTACATGGCCAGCCTACTGGGTCTCCAACCCAAGAGAGCAGGAAGAATAACTAGCCCCCTCCTCCCATTGGCTCTTCTTCTGGACATTATTTATTCTCTGTCACTCAAACTCAAGACCTGTTCTTCTCTCTCTGTGCTATCCTACCCACTCCTTTTCCTTCCCGTTTCTTCTCTAGATAACATCCTTATGATTTCATTTCAGTGATCACATTCTGAGTGTTATGGAGCGGTTTTGTGATGGGATCTGGGATCACAGAGACTAGTACCCTTGTTTGTTGCTCACGGGACGGAACCGTGTGCCAGGAAAGTGGGGAGGAGGGACTGGCCATGGGCAGGATGGTTTGGAAATGCAATACCAAGGGGCCCAGATGGAGTGTGGTCTTGAGGAGGCATTTATTGGGTGGTGGGCACAGGGAAGCTTTCAGAGGGGTCTCTGTCTTCATCTAGTTTCCTTCCAGCCCACCTTCTCCCATACTAGCAGGGTAGGTTTCTTAAATCCCTCCATCTTGCCTTAGAGTTTCCCCTCATCAGCACCAGTCTGGGTTCCTAACTTCCTCACCCACAGTGTTTTTCTATGATCGGTTAGCTCTTTCTCGGTCACTTTGTGGAATCTTGATGGGAATTTGCTCACACTTTTGTTATTGTAATTCCACTCATCCTTCAGGGAATTAAACTCATCACCTGTGTGTCTCTTGTTATTACAATACCTGCAGCAGCTTTTCTAGGCTCTTTCCTCCACAAAACACGCTCCGCTTCCAGTTCTTAAGATGTTTCCGCTTTCCTTCAATTTCAAATTCTCTTGGTGTGAACCAAACTCCCTTCTCATTTTGAATACACTTCTCTAAGGATCCTGGAAGGTAAAGACAGTCCATCCAACACCCACTTCCATCTTCAGTGAATTCACCCTAAACCACCATCCCCCTACTCATGGTGTTCTACCCTTCTGGGTTCAGAGACTCCCTGTGAGGTGGAAGAAGGAGCGGGGAAACCCAGTTCCTCCTCTTGGATTGAATGAAGCCCTGAAACCCACCTGAATCGTGAAGGATTGGGATTGGATTTGCCTTTCATGTGGCAAGGACGTGTGTCACAGGTCCATGGATGACTTCCATGCGGGAGGGCAGTGGCCTGGTCCCCAGATATAAAATGACATTGAAAAGGTGGAAAATCCCTTCATCACAAGCCCAGCCTTTTCTAAAGCAGCCTCGCTTGCAGGTTCCCGAACAATGACACACGTGGATGCTCTCTTCCCTTCTAGTGATTCCTTCATCTCGGGGTTCCAGAGGGCAGGAGGTCAAGGAACTCACCTTGCTTCATTTTCTCCGTATATAAAATCCCCTTTGCCTCCCCACAGGTCACAGGGAGTTCAGGAGAGTGAAAATCCAGAGTTTCATCTTCAGGTTTTTCTGAAAGTAGAAAAGAACAGGTTGGCGTTCCATGGTGGTTCAGGGGATAAGAATCCGTCTGCCAAAGTAGGAGATGTGGTTTCGATCCCTGGTCAGGATCCCTGATCACATGTCTCAGGCAACTAAAGCAAGTGTGTTACGATTCCTGAAGCCCATGCACTAGTGTGCTGAGAACCTGTGCTCCGCAACTCGGAGTAGACCCCCAGCCAAATCCAACTAGAGAAAGCCCACTCGCAGCCACAAACATCCAGCCCAAGCAAAAGTCAAATAAATAAATTATTAAAAAGGAAAAGAACAGATTAGTATTCTTCAGTCTTCATTCTGTCTCCCCTTGAATTTTCCATAAATTCTAATAATAATAGCAGTGACTAGAATAACATAAAGAACACTGGGGAGCATTCTCTGGTTAATTCACAGAAGTCTTCCATTTTGAGTGGCAGACTACATGGGTGTACCAAGGGGTCCTTAATAAACAAAATGACCCCCGCCAATACTACATCACATAAAATACTTTAACAGACATATTGTGCTTCCATTGGGTGAATATGTTTTAATTTACAGACTAATCCACAATCACCCAGTGCTCCTTTATTCCATAAGCATCCTGCTTGCCCCTCTGTGCTGATAGGAGTTGCCAGCCCACAATATTCCTTTGCGTTCATGTAGTTGGAGACCATTTCTCTATGATTTTTTTTTCCGCCTGATTCAAAGACGGGGGTAAGAGAAGCAGTTAGCACTGAGAGGAGAATGCTAAGTTTTGTCCCTTTTCATTTGATTGCTCTCCCATTTTTTCCTCTAAGAGGAGAAGAAAACCCCCAAGAGTTCTAGACTAGTCTGCACATCGCCTATGGAGAGATTAGGCAACTCACAGCCTTAGAGTAGGGATCTCGGGTTCTGATTCAGGAGAAGGAACTGTAAAAGTAGAAGGGGTAACATAAACATCGGGCTTCCCAGGGGTGCCGGTGATAAAGAACCTGCCTACCAATGCAGGAGACAGAAGAGACTCAGGTTCAATCCCTGGGTTGGGAAGATCCCCTGGAGGAGGACAAGGCAACCCACTCCAGTATTCTTGCCTGGAGAATCCCATGGATAGGGGAGCCTCTTGGGCTATGGTCCATTGGGTTGCAAAGAGTTGGACATGACTGAAGCACCTTAGCACGAACACAACATAAACATCAGCAATTCCTGCTTTCTCCATCCCCCGCCAACCTCACTGTGGGCAAGTTCATTAAAGACAGACACAGGAGCTGTTTCCTGGGGTGGCGGGGGGCGGGGCAGAGAGAAAGCTGCCCAGAGCTGATGTGCATTCATCCTGGATGTTATTGCATCCGCAGTGAGGCAAGGAGAGTATATAACCCAACTCTTACCCTGGTTTTGAACACTTATAGAAAGATCTAAAGGAAAACATGAAAAAGCAAGCACATCATTGGGGGAAAAAACCTGAAACAGAGCAGCATTAATGGCAAAGAAACCGTGAGTTAGTTCAGAAAAATATGAAATAGGTAGAGTCAGATGAGAAATGAGAAGTGAGGCAAAAGTTGCCTTATATAGAACCTAAAGGAAGCTCAGCCTCGGGGAGCAGGGGTTGTAGCAAGGTAGGTGAGAATAAGGGGTGGGAAGACCTTGGTAGGAAGAATAGCTGGCCGGTGCTCTTGCACAGAGATGCTGGCTCCACCACTGGTCCCAGAATCTGCCCACTGAATATGGCCCAGTGAACGAGAGCGTAGCACTGGGAGCCAGACTGGGTGGGCTTGTAATCCTGGCGCTGCAGTTCACTAGCACGGTTACAACAGCGAGTGCTGATGTCATCAAAGCTGAGTGGGGCATTTGCACTACGGGGTCCTAACTTGCTGACAAGGTGGAGTCACAGGTAACTCTGAATTACTGTGAAAATCCCGAGGGGGATTGGGATGGCAACAGGGACCTGCCATAGTTGCCTGTGTCACCGAACGATCAAGTACAGGTCCAGTGGACACAGACATCCCAGACATGCCCACAGGCAGATGTGGCCGCCGTGTGTGGCTTTGGGAACTCTGGGCAGCCAACCCAGTGTGCAGAGTGGTGGGCATGGGCAGCTCCCCCTCCTTTGCCTACTTAGGAGGGACCTTGTGTCCCTAATGCTTCCAAAGCCACCCCACCCCCCACCCCTTAGGGAGGGAGAAAGTTTTCTGATCTGCTTCCCACAATCTTTCATTTGGCTCCATCCTACCTCTCATCTCCAGAGAACGCAGTGGCACCCCACTCCAGTACTCTTGCCTGGAAAATCCCATGGGCGGAGGAACCTGGTAGGCTGCAGTCCATGGGGTCACGAAGAGTCGGACATGACTGAGCGACTTCACTTTCACTTTTCACTTTTATGCATTGGAGAAGGAAATGGCAACCCACTCCAGTGTTCTTGCCTGGAGAATCCCAGGGATGGGGTCACACAGAGTCGGACACGACTGAAGTGACTTAGCAGTAGCAGCAGTACCTCTCATCTCAGTAAACAGACGTTTAAGGATGGAAGCCTGAAGGGGTGGAGGGCGGTTTGAGTGCCGCTCTCCCACATCTATTAGGTCACCGCTAGTAAATGCAAGCAAAGACGAGGAACCTGCTAGGGAAAGTAAGCAATTAAAGAGCAAAGGGAGGGACTTCCCTGGTGGTCCACTGGTTAAGACTTCATGATTCCAGCACAAGTGGTATGAGTTCGATCCCTGATTGGGGAACTAAGATCCTGCATGCTGAGCAGCGTGGCCAGGAAACAAATAAACAAAAAACAACCCAAAATCAACCAAACAACAAGCAACAGCAACAACACCAAAGAAAAAGAAAGAAAAAACAAAGGGCGTTCATAGAGATGAAAAACCTGGTGGAGAAAATGAAAAGAAAAGCCTAACAGAGACAAAGAAGAGCGGAATGGAAAAACCCCCATTAGTGATGGGGAAGACTACCTCCAGGGATTCTTACAGAACCTAGGGAAGGGGCACAGGTGAACACCATGCCTGGGGACTTCCCTGGTGGGCCAGTGGTTGAGAATCCACCTACCAATGCAGGGGACACAGGTTCAATCCTTGGTCCGGGAAGCTTCCACACGCCATAGAGCAACTATATCCGTTTGTTGGAACCACTGAGCCCGCGCTAAAGAACCCTCAAGCAGCAACTACTGAACCCATGAGCTGCAGCTGCTGAAGTCCATGCACCCTAGAGACTGTGCTCCACCACAAGAGAAGCTACCCAGTGAGAAGCCCAGGAACCACAACTACAAAGTAGCCTGCTTGCAGCAATGAAGGCCAAGTGCAGTCAAAAATAGTACTAATAAATAAAAATTAAAACAAAAAAGCCCCTCATAGCTTGGGGAAAAGTCTGGAGCTCTATGATCTGTAGAGGAAGGGCCCTTGTGGAGATGGACTGGCTGGAAAAGCACTAGTTAGGGGACTAGTGAAAGCAGCACACATGTTTTCTTGTTTATTTGCACAACAGCCTTAAGAAAGGGAAGGCAGTGGCCATGGTCCTCATTTTAGAGTTGGGGACTTTGGCACAGGTTTGGAGAGAGAATTCCTGGTGGTCACCAAACTGTGAGATGGGGCTGGCTTTGGAATTCAGACATGCCAACCCTTATGTGTGTGCTCTTTCCACACCATTAGAAACACTGCAACAAGATTCCACATCGTTTAACAGCAGAGTGTGTGTGTGGGTACTCAGTCATTCAGTCGTGTCCGACTCTTTGTGGCCCTATGGACCGGAGCCCACCGGGCTCTTCTGTCCCACACAGAGTGTGTGCGTGCCTCTTAAGTCACTTCAGTCATGTCTGACTCTTTGCGATCCCAAGACAAGGTGTTAAATCAGAAGTCAAAGCTGGGTGGGTGGACATGCTAAGGAGGTAGAGAAGCTGATGCTGACAGACAGCTGTCAGTGTTCGCCTGGACTCTTGCCTCCTACTCGTGTTTACTACAAAGACCTGGAGGGGGAGTAGTTATTTTTCAGCGTAAAACAAAGGACTTGAGATTAAAACACCTACGTTTGTTTTAGCTCATGCAAGTCCTTTATGTTCTAATTGAATCTGCAAAATGAACTGGAAAATACATATTTGAGGATTAGATGGCAAAAAGTAGAACAAATCGGTTGCCAATTGTAAAGTGACGCACACACTTACATATCGTTGGCAGGGCTTCTGCGTATGGTTGTGTGGAACACACACTGAGCAAGGAGTCCCACTTTAAGGTGGGGGTGGGGAGCTCATAGCGAGATCCGAGCTACAGTCCATTTGCACACTTCCTGCTCTTTCCAGCAGGGGACAGTAAAGGGCCTGGTTACAAGAATCGGCTCTGCCAGATGTAAGTCAAGTGCGTCAAGGAAGGGGCTCTCTTTTCTGGTTGATACCAGTCAGTGGAGGCTCTGATACAGGTATTCATACTTGATGAGGAAGAATGGATAATGCATTGATCTGGCAGCTATTTAAGCACAAACTGCAAGGCACAGAGGAGAGCTGGAGCCACGAGCAAGGCCTTCTGACCTCGTTTGATTTTCCCGCAGGGAATAGGATGTACACAGACAGTTAATCATACTTGTGATAAAACAAAGTCACAGCCTTGGAGAAGAACTTACGGTTACCAGGGGGGGACGGTGGGGGGAGGGATAGTTAGGGAGTTTGGGATGGACATGTGCACACTGCTGTATTTAAAATGGATAACCAACAAGGACCTTCTGTATAGCACAAGGAACTCTACTCAATATTTTCTGACAACCTAAATGGGAAGAGAATTTGAAAAAGGATACATGTATATGTATAACTGAGTCAGTTTGCTCGACAGTAGAAATTAACAGAACATTGTAAATTAACTATACTTCATTTTTTTTTTTTATAAAGAGATCTGAAGACTTCCCTGGTGGTCCAGTGGTTAAGACTCTGTGCTTCCACTGCAAGAGGTGTGGAGTTGATCCCTGGTGGGAGAAGTTCTGCATGCCTCAAGGTATGTCTGAAAAAAGAGAGAACCCCAAAAAAAACTATCCAAAAAAAAAAAAATTACACTTGTGGTAAGTGCCACCAAGAAAAAGCATTGTACCTGCTGCGTCCAAGAGGCTTTGTTCAAGGTGAGTCTGGAGCTGTGTAGCAAAGAGGAAGGAGGATGGAGGGGTTGGCTATGGGGATGGAGTGTGTGATAGGGGAGGAGACGCATGAGGTGGCCCTGAGCAGGACGGAGCCGGAAGCACTGGGTGATGCTCAGAGAACCAGGCTGGGACACACCCTGGGGGCTGTGGCTAGGGCTTGAAATACGGGTGTGGATTATGTTCTATTTCTTGACCCGGTTGTTGGGTACACCTGGGCTTTTCCTTCGTGTGAGTCCCTCAAGTTGTACACTACGCACCAGCATTTTTCTGTAAGCGCAGTATACCAGTGGTCCTCAAGATGTCAACCTGCGATGAGCTTGACCAGAAGAGAAATCAATGCAGCGCTGTCTAGTATAATTCATATATATAGTGTAATACTATGTATGCATATGTAGTGTGCTGTATGCACTCTATTTTATAGATAGGGTAATACTATGTATGTATATACAGTGTGCTGTATGCACTCTATTTTATATACAGTGTAGTACTATGTATGTATATACAGTGTGCTGTATGCACTCTATTTTATATATAGTGTAGTACTATGTATGTGTATGTAGTGTGCTGTATGCACTCTATTTTATATATAGTGTAGTACTATGTATGTGTATGTAGTGTGCTGTATGCACTCTATTTTATATATAGTGTAGTACTATGTATGTGTATGTAGTGTGCTGTATGCACTCTATTTTATATATAGTGTAGTACTATGTATGTGTATGTAGTGTGCTGTATGCACTCTATTTTATATATAGTGTAGTACTATGTATGTGTATGTAGTGTGCTGTATGCACTCTATTTTATATATAGTGTAGTACTATGTATGTGTATGTAGTGTGCTATATGCACTCTATTTTATATATAGTGTAGTACTATGTATGTATATATAGTGTGCTATATGCACTCTATTTTATATATAGTGTAGTACTATGTATGTATATATAGTGTGCTATATACACTCTATTTTATATATAGTGTAATACTATATATAAAATAGACAATAAAGACCCACTGTATAGCACAGGGAACTCCACTCAATCCTCTCTAATGGCCTAGATGGAAAATAACCTAAAATGGAATGGAAGCATGTATTATGTATAACTGATTCACTATGCTGTACAACAGAAAGTAACACAACACTGTAAAGCAACTACACTTCAATAAAAATTTAAAAAGTAATAAAAACAGTGCATGCTAAGTCTCTTCAGTCGTGTCCAGCTCTGTGCTAACGTATGGACTGTAGCCTGCCAAGTTCCTCTGTCTTTGGGATTTTCCAGGCAAGAATACTGGAGTGGGTTGCCATTTCCTCCTCCAGGGGATCTTCCCAACCCAAGCACAGAACCTTTGTCTTACGTCTTCTGCACTGGCAGGCGGGTTCTTTACCACCAGCGCCACCTGGGAAGCCCCACATAAAAACAGGGCTGTTAGTAAATGTAGGCTAGAGAATGCTGAAGTCGTTTATGGTCTTCCCAGAAGTCAGTGGTTTATTATAGATGTCAGCAAACTACAGCCCAGGAGCCAATTGGCCCAGTGTCTGTTTCTGTAAAGAATGTTTTATTGGGGCGGAGCCAGGCCTACTTGTTTATGTTTTTGCCTCTGCCAGTTTCCTGCTATCAAGTCAGGGTTAAAGTTGTAGCAGTAAACCGGTATGGCCAGCCGAGTCTAAATGACTCACTCTCTGGCCCTTTTTAGAAAAAGCTTTTCAAGTTTTGGCTTGCAGTGGCCCTCGCATTTCTGTCCACATTTCTTTGGCCAAGTCACATGGCCCTTCTTGAATACACAAGGCAGGAGTCTGTGACCTTCTGGGATGCTGGCGAGCAGTACTGTGACCTCCCACCTCATGTTTAACCCTGTGCAGCGCGCAAAGAAGTCACGAGGAAAACACTGGCAGACTATCGCTCTTGGCCTGTGTGTTCAACAAATGGAAAAGGCTTATTATTTCTGTGTGTGTGTGTGTGTGTTAGTCAGTCGTGTCCAACTCTTTGCAACCCCGTGGAGTGTAGCCCACCAGGTTCTTCTGTCCATGGAATTCTCCAGGCAAGAAAACGAGTGGGTAGCCATTCCTTTCTCCAGGGGCTCTTCCTGACCCAGGCATTGAACCTGGTTCTCCTGTGTTGCAGGCAGATTCTTTACCGTCAGAGCCACCAGGAAAACCCTTGTTATTTCTAGTGCTGGTGAAGATGTAGGGGAAAGTGTATCCACACTACATTCATGGGAGCCTAAACTGGCAACAATTTGATCATCGGGTATGGCATTATTTATTTTATTTTATTTTTAATTTAATTTTTTGGCCACACTGCACCACGCCATTTATGGGATTTAAGTTGTTTGACCAAGGATTGAACCCAGGCCCTTGGCAGTGAGAGCACAAAATCCTAACCACCAGATGACCAGGAGTTTCCCAGTATGGGATAATTTTATTTATTTGTTCATTTGACTGTGTCAGGTCTTAGTTGTGGCACACAGGCTCAGTAGTTGTGGCACACGAGCTTAGTTGCCCGACCAGGGATTGAACTCACGTCCCCTGCTTGCTTAGATGGATTCTTAACCACTGGACCAGTAGGGAAGTCCCAAGATAATTTTAAATATGCAAACTCATGGATCAGTCTATTTCACCTCCAGAGACAAACCATGAAGAAATAAGCCAGAGAACATGTCCACTTCAAGGTTTGGTGCTACTCCCGTCAGTGGGAGAGGAGCCCCCAGCCTCCATGGAGCAGAGGTGACTCTGCTGATGGACATATAAACAGCAGACCCTGGGAGAGGTGATGTGGGTCCACAGGACACAGCTGAGGCGACCTTCACCCTGAGAACACGATTACTTCTCCCAGCAACCACCCCCAGGCCCCGAGACCCCAGCTCTGTCTTCATGCCGCCTCATCTATGCTGTTCCCTCCTTCTACTAGTCACTTTAGATCTGCGTCACCTGTGCAGGCTCCACGAGAGATGCTCCCACGCTGAGCATTCAGGTGACCAGTGCCACCACCAGCTTTATCCTTAGGTGCAGGCATTTGGGCACCTTCAGCCTGTGCCTTTTGGGCTCTTGTCATGACCTTTGAATTTCCGGTTGAGTCATCCTTCTTTTGAGTCACCTGATTCATCCCTTGGAGCTTCTCTTCGATTCTGAGCCCTGATGAGGCTTCTCCTGGACCAAATAGAGATTTATGATGAGTTTTCACTGGGGTCTCAGTGGCCCTCCCGTTAGCGACCTCCCTCTCACTCTCCCAGTCCCCTCACTTTGAGTTCCCTTTGTATCCCTGCTGGCCTCTGGTCTTACTATTTCTCTGTAACTACTACTTTCTTTTTCTTGGATGTATCTTTCTTCTCCTCCCCAAACCCTATTTCTCTTTTCCTCCTTCATTTCCTCTTTCTGACTCTTCATTACATGTATTAGTGAGAATATAAGCTCCATGAGGGCAGGGATCTTGTCTGTTTTGCTTGTTGCTAAGTCCCCAGAACCGAGGACATGTGCCCAGAACACACCTCAGCTCAGTGCATCTCTGTGGAATGAATGTGTAACAAGCAGCATAGTTTAGAAAATATTCAAATTATGTATTTTTCATCCTTATACATTGTATAGTCCATGGAATCCTCCAGGCCAGAATACTAGAGTTGGTAGCCTTTCCCTTCTCCGGGGATCTTCCTAACCCAGGGATCGAACCCAGGTCTCCCTCATTGCAGGCAGATTCTTTACCAGCTGAGCCACAAGGGAAGCCCCTTGTAATGGTCAGGGTTCCCTAATTATGAAGTCAGTCAATTTACAGGAAAGGGCAGAATGTAGCCCAGGATCTCAGTCGAGGCCACTTTGGAGGTACTACACAAAATCTCAGAAACACAAGAGTGGAAGGGAATTTCTATATTCCAAAATTATTTTTATACACCAACAAGAAAAGCTCAGAGGTCTGAATGTCAAGTGTTCCCAGAAGTTGTTGGTGGAGAGAACTCAGCATGTGACAAGGAGGCGGCGGGCCTGGGGACTGGGAGAAAGAGACAAGGGCCTCCGAGGAGAAGGGTAAGGGAGGAGGTTCTGGTCCCTTCCCAGGTCAGACCCCAAGACTGAGGGTCTTGGCAACAAGCAGAAAAATTGGGAAAATGTCCAAAGCAGTGAAAGGCATGTCATGATTCCAGTTTGGGAGCTGAGAGGAGATTTCATCCCAGGATGCCACATTACCTCCTAAGGGCTGGGAATCCAAGACAATCCCCACCAATTGGCACATCTTGAACTAAAGAAACAAGGAGAAAGGAGAGGGGCGGGGAAGAGGGAGAAAGTGCAGAGGAAAAGGAGAAAAGGTGATGAGTGTTAAAAGGAATAAAGCAGAGGGTCCAGAAAAGCACAGAGTTACATACAGCTTTGTTTCTTGTGCTGCAAATAACATGCTTTTTCATTCATGGAGTCAATGGCATGCTAAGCATCTCTGCGGGTGGTTTTGAACACTCAGTGACCACAAATCTAACCCCAGTTTGGGACTGGGAATCTGAATCCTGCCTGCACACTCAGGTTTTTGCTTTGTCTTTTCTTCTTGGCTCTGAACTTGCACTGGACATTGTGTGTGCTAAGTCACTTCAGTCATGTTTGACTCTATGCTGCCCTATAGACTGTAGCCCCCCCCAGGCTCCTCTGTCCATGGGGGGTCTCCAGGCAAGAATACTGGAGTGGGTTGCCATGACCTCCTCCAGGGTATCTTTCTGACCCAGAGATTGAACTCGTGTCCCTTGTGTCTCCGGCATTGGCAGATGGGTTATATATCACTAGTGTCACCTGGGAAGTCCCATATCTCAAAATCGTCTGATGCCTCCTGTCCACCTCCACCTCATTCCTTCCCAGTGATAAGATAAAAGAAGGCTGTTGGAACCAGCATGGTTCTCCCTTTGTGAGGTATAGTCCTTGATGAGATGGTCTAGGGTTTGGGGTGGAGCTGGCCATGTGGCTGGAGAGAAGAACCCTAATGAACACCAAGGGAATGACACCTTCACCCTTCTTGCTTACCTCTTGAGGGACATTTCTTCCATCTTTTTTTTGAACTTGACCAGTTATGTATTTTTCTCTTCCTTTCTGAAACAGAAAAGAAAATCATCTCTTATGGCTATCTATGGTGATCTACCAGTTTGAAATTTTTAAGTAAAATTTTTTCTATCTTCCTATCGCTTTGGGGAGGAAAGAGACCCATGAGTCTATGTGAAGAAAATACTTGGAAATGAAAAAGGATTGAATAAAGAATAACAGAGATGTGGCAAATTATTAGCATTACAATATGCCCTTTTTTCTATAACTAGTTTTTTCAAGACTAGAAGAAAAAATATAGATTGTTATTAGTCATAGATAGAAATGATCTTCTTAGCCAAAACTTAAGACCAAAAATCATGAAGGTAAAACATGAACAAATTTAACCATTTAAAAAATTTAAATGCCCATACTTCAAAAAACATCCACACAATATTAAAATAGAACAGGGAAATTCCAATATATGTAACATTAGAGGATGAATCACCTTAATAGTAAAACAAAAGATGAATAGTATACTAGGAAAATGGACAAAAGCATAATTGAAAGTACTAAAAGAGGAAATGACAATATTTTTTGAAAAAGCATCTTTAGACCACCAAAAGTCCAAAAAATGCATTGCTTGGTTTGAATTATACCCAAACTTGTGAAAAGTTTTATCATGTCTGGGTTGACGAGGATGTAATTAATGAGCACTTGTGTTGTTAAAGGGAACAACAACAACAACAACAGAACAATATTTTCTGGAGAATAGTTTGGTAGCAAATATGAAATTTAAAATACAAAAACTCTAACCGAGTAATTCACACTTAGAAATTAATTCTCAGGAAATTATTGGACGAGTGTGTAAAGATACCAACACATGCAACATGATTTCTACTTTTATATAAAAATGAGAAATATCCTAACTTACTGCCAATAGGTTATTATTGAAATAAATTGTTAATCATACAGTAATGAGCTGTATATCCCCTCCCATCCAAAAAAGGAAAATTGGTAATGGATAACATTGACACAATGAGAAAAATGTTTAGAAGTGTTTATAGAATAGACTATGTAGAATAAGAATGTGTGTATATATACATATATATAATGTATATACATATAAATGTAATATATATATGTAAAGAATGTATACATATATATGTACATGAATGCAGGCCTTTTTGTAAGGTACAAAAATAAGGTGGCAGAAGCAGAATAAATAGATATTTCATTTCCTGATTAATAACTTTGCATACTGTTGGAGGATTTTATGAGGAACTTTATGTGAGGCTGGACAGGATGGGTTACTCTTCAGTACAAGCAGAACCAGACCTTGGTGTCTTAACGTGCACACTGTATTTCTCTGTCAGGCATAGTTCTCTGCAAGACAGGGGTCTCCAGGACAGCTGTCTGCTGTGGATGGTGCTGAGACCCATCCAAAGGTGCTTGGCCTTTGGCCACCTCCCTCTTCCACACCTTCCCAGTCAGAGGCAGAGAGTGGGGAGAGCTGAGCAGTAAGTGTCTCTTATGTGGTTTGACTCAGGAGTAACTGGCCTCTTGGTCAGAACTGGTGTCACGGCCCTGTCTTCTGCAAGGGGCCAGCAAGTGTAGGCTTCCAAATGTCTGGGAAGGGAAGGAGAACCAGAAATAGTGAAGAACACTAGTATTGCCCAGCAGGCGGTGTGCAGACCTGGTTGTTCCTTTCTGTCTTCCCTTTTCCTTAGTAGTACGGTTGCTCATTTCCACCTGGATGGATAGCTGTCCTTCTAGAATAAAGACTACATTACCCAGCCTCCTTTGCAGTCAGGTAAGGCCATGGAACCAGTCCTGGCATGAAATGGCAACAGAATTACTAAATTTAACCTGCAGATAGAGTCCTACAGTGGAGGAGGTGTGCCTGTCCTTGACCTTGCCTCTTTCCTTTCTTGTGAGCTGGAACCCAGTGAAGGGGATGCCGCACACTGAGGATGATGGAGCAACAGCCAGAATGAACTGTGTATGGTGCCAGCCCTGACCACCTACTTCTCTACAGGAGAGAGAAATAAGCCTTTTTATCTCACCTACTATTTGGAGGGGGAGGGTAAGTGGTGGTTTTCTGTCACACACAGCAAGCTAGTCTTAATGGCCACAGCATATTGCTTTTATAGTACCTTTTTTTTTTTAATGTTGCAAAAAGTTAAATTACTGCTGTAAAAAGCACACATCTTTTTCTGGCTTGGATGTCCTAAGGACATAACAATCAATAAAAATAATACCAACTCTACCTTACAGAGACCAAATAAGTTCTTTACACTTACGCTTTTCCCCAGGAGATTTTCCCAAAGGCAGTTTACTGTCATCATCCATGGAATCTTGAAAGTAATAAGAAAGAAACTTTTGAATAAGCAATCTCTGTATTCATTTCCATCAATATTGAGCTGGTAAAGCTTTAATAGTATTATTTCTATCCCTTTTATTATAATGGCAATGGCACCCCACTCCAGTACTCTTGCCTGAATTGGCCAGGCAAGAATACTGGAATTGGTAGCCATTCTCTTCTCCAGGGGATCTTCCCTAGCCAGGGATCAAAACTGGATTTCCTGCATTGCAGATGGATTCTTTATTGTCTGAGCCACCAGGGGAGCCTTAACAATTAGGGTTGCCCCCCAGTTGGTTCTTGGGGTGAAAAAAACTTAACTCTTTTCATGTATAAATCATAAATAAATATATCCAGTACAGAAATGGATATATAATATACCTGTGTTATTAAAATACCCTGGGAGGTAGGGTTCATTATTAGAAAAAAATATCTAGATGGGCTCTCTGGAGCAGTGATAATGAACAAATGGCTGAGAAACACTGACTCAGAGTAAAACAACTCTCGAAGTTTGGGTTCCTGATTATGCACTGTGAGACTTGCAATCCCTCACCTTTGTCGTGGATGATTCTTGGTGGTGTGCTGGGTGGCTCCCGGGGCCTCTTCCCTTTATCCATTTCTGAAGTATTATCACTGATCTCTGAAAAAAAACAACAACAAAAAACAGCATTCATGTCACTTTCCTCTCTGGAAAGTCAATGGGGAATCTCCCAGAGAACCAGGAAGGACCTTAAACACTCTGGAGTTGAAGGCTGGAGGTTCCAGTCTTGCTTGAGGCTCCAAGACACCCTCCTGAGATTAATTCTACCACTGATCTGTCTGCCAGTCAGGGGAGGGCCATAGCAAAACTAGTCAGGAACGGTTCCACTACTAACAGAATGTCCTTTGGGGAGCAGTCATTTGAGACTCTTGACCAGAGATTCAAAGTGAGGTTGTGAACCCCTTGGAGAGTCCTGGAAACTCTTTCAGGAGACCTTCCAGGTCAAAATTGTTTTCATAATAAGATGTTCTTTGCCTTTTTTTTTTTTTTTTTGCTTATCTGGCTTTTGCACAGATAAGGCAGGTAAAAATGCTGGTGCTTCAGTACAAATAAAGCCCCCAAATCTTAGAATTATCTATTGTATTCGCCACCACCAGTTACTCAACATGAAAAAAACAAAACAAAACAGCAGTTTCATTTAAGAATGTTCTTGATGAAACAGTTAAAATGATTAACTGTATTAAATGTATACTCTTGAGAACACATCTTTTTAATAGTCTGTGTGAGGACTTCCCTGGTTTAGACTCTGCCTTGCAGTGCAGGAGACACAGGTTCGATCCCCGATCAGGGAACTAAGATCCCACGTGTTGTGGAGCGACTAAGCCTGTGCTCCACAATAGAGAGTCTGTGCACTGCAATGAAAGATCCCGCATGATATAACTAAGACCCAATGCAGCCAAAAGGAAAAAAGTCTATGTGAAAAAGTGGGGAGCACATATAAAGTAGTTTGTTGCATCTTGAAGTGCCATGGTTGTCTCAAGAACAATACTCAGGTGATTGCGTTGTAAGCTCACTGTAAACTCCAGTGAACCAATACTTTCCAGTTGTATATGATATTATAAAATCTGGCATGAGTAGAAGATTCATTTGAATCAAAAGATAGTGTGAAACATCTTACTACAAAATAGTATGAAAAGCTCATTGATGTGGTTTCAGACTCTGGTTACAGCAAACCTTTAAGAAACTACCACTTGTTGAGTTTTGGTGTAGTATCAAAGGTGAATAACCACAGATATCTCAAGAGACTGTTAAAGTACTCCACCCTTTTAGCTACAGATTTGTGTGGGGCTGGATTTTCTTCCTATGATTCAACCAAAGGTAAAGGGGATTAAGAGGTACAAACATACAGTTATAAAATAAATAAGCCAAAGGGATATAACATACAGTATAAGAAATAAAGTCAATAGTATTGTAATAACTTTGAATGGGGATAGGTTGTTACTAGACTTATGGTGGTGATCATTTCATAGTATATGCAAATGAAACGCCTATGTAGTGTATGTGAAACTAACATAATATTGTATACCAAACATATTTCAATTAAAGAAAATAAATTTAAAAGAAGCTTTAAAACAGAAAGTAATTGTTAACAGGATATAGATTGATGTTATTAAAAATGTTCTCTCAGCTCTCAATATAATACAGTAAAGATATGTACAAAAATATTGAAGAAGCACATTGAAAAGATAGTTAATAAAATTTTTTAAAAGAATCCAGCTTTGATTAAGGTAGACATTACAGAGAGTTGCAAAAATGTAAAATGATACCACTCACCTAATATTTTTATTTGAAAAGTATACTATTTTTCATAAAAATATATTATTTATGGTAATAAGTTATTGGTCTATTGTGGGTTGCAAGAGAGAGCCTTCCACACTGAGCATTCAGATGACAAATTCCATCACCAGCCTTACCCTCTGATTTAGGCATCTGGGCACATTCTGTCCTCTTTTGTGCCCTTGTCACGATCTTTGTATTCCTGGTTGAGTCATCCTCTGTATGAGTCACCTGATCTTGCTGTTGGAGTGTCTTTTGGATTCCATGCCCAGGTAAGGCTGCCCCTGGCCAAACAGTGATTTGGGAATAGTCTTAGTTGAGGTCCCAGTGGCCCTCTTCCTTCCCTGAATAGTGATTGCCTTCTCACACTCCCAGTCTCCCCACTGTGAGACCTTGGTACCCCTGCTCTGCACCTCACTTTTCTCCTACTATTTCTTTGTAATTATATATATATATATATATATATATATAAAATTTTTTTTTTCTTGTATGTACCTTCCTTTCCCCTGAAAACTTACCATCTATTCTCCCTCTCTGTGCAACCTGCTGAAATCAATCAGATTAATTTGGGGGAACCCCAGAGCACTGGGGCTGATTTCCTAGTTCCTGGCTTCAGACCCCTGCTGCCAGAAAGTGCCACATCCAAGTAAACATGGCCAGATGGTCTGTTTCAGCAGAGGAGGGGTCTCGTAAAGCACTTTTCCAGGTTCCCTAGGGCCTGTGTGTGATACAGGAGACAGGAGAGACCCAGGATACCTCTAGAAGGGAAAGGGCAAAAAGGCATCTAAGAATTGAGAGGCAGGGGCCCTGCAGTGGAGGGTGAGGCTGAGACCCAGAGGATGAAGGGGAGTGGGGGTGTTAGCACTGGGGCTCTCTTCCCCCTTTATTTTGCCAATGGATTTTGTATTTATATCTTTGTGAGGCCAAATTGATTTCTCTGGTGGCTCAGACAGTAAAGAATCCATCCATCTGCAGGGCAGGAGACCAGGGTTTGATTCCTGGGTCAGGAAGATCCCCTGGAGAAGGGAATGGCAACCCACTCCAGTATTCTTGCCTGGAGAATCCCATGGACAGAGGAGCCTTGCAGGTTACAGTCCATGGGGTCGCAAAGAGTCAGATATGACTGAGTGACTTGCCCTTTCAAATTGGTATACTGTGGGGAAATTTTCTCCTTGATTTCTCAGTGCTTCTGTGAAAAGCTCTAGCCTCCTGAGACACAAAAGTATATGTGATATAAAAATAGAGGATGTTTTCTTTCATTCCCCCTGGAATTATTTCACTTTTCATATACCATAGAAATTAAATCTCTAGCTAGTTAATTACTGCCTAATCCAAAGAGGGATAAAACTTCTCATTCTGGTCATGATCAAATGGTTGTGGCCAGGGCTAGGCTCCTAGGTTAAGTCCCACAGGAACAGGGACATTGGAGTACTCTATCCCTGGGTGTTTAGTGTCAAAAGGGATGAAGCCCAGAACTTGGAGAATCTTTAGTAAAAGCTGGAGACACCTGGGGTTTCTCTGGCTCTTAGAAAGAGGCATTTACATTCTCCCAAATTAGGGTGAAGACTCAGGATCTTTTCAATCTTATCTCAAAGCAGTAAAAAAAAAATTGCTTTTCTCTTTTCAGGAGCAAAAGAGGATGATGTCCTTGTCCTGTATACAAATAGAAAATCCATCCTTCTTTCTTCTGTGTCTATAGAATGTAATCTGCATTCACACAGAAGATTCCATCAGCTCTCTCCTCGTGCCTGTGGGTCTCCATATGAGAAATGCTACAATGTTGAATTGGTTGTGAATATCAATAAAAGAATTCTCCCTGACCCAGGCGCTTTGTGGTTTTACAATATTCATATATCTAAAGAACATCACTCTGCAGGAAGGGGTAATCTCAGAGCCTCGCAGTTCTTGACAAAGCACACATGTGCATAGACAGCACCAATCTTGAAATGAACAAGTCAAAAATTGAATTCTAAAAATTTCCCCCAATATATTTGTGTCCTTTCTCAGCCACAGCATCACCTACCATTCATCCAGCTGTTTAAGCCAGAAACTGAAGAACAAACCTTGATTTCTTTCTCTCATCCTCAGCTTCCAATTTACCAAATCTTGCCAACTCTACCTCCAACTGATCTTGAATAGACCTTCTCTCCCTCCACTGCCAGATCTGAATCCAGGCTGCTGTCAGCTCCCATGGCATCTGCCCCTTAAAGGAGTGCCCTGTATCCATTCTTTTCTATTTCCAATTCATTCTTTACATAACACCATAATTTTTTTTGTTGGTGAAAATTGAATCATGTCATGTACACACTGCTATATTGAAATGGATAACCAACAAGGTCCTACTGTACAGCCCAGGGAGCTCCCCTCAAAGCTGTGTGGCAGCCTGATTGGAAGAGGAGTCTGGGAGAGAATGGATGCTGAGTTCCTTTGCCGTCCACCTGAAACTATCACAACATTGTTAACTGACCGTATATTCCAATATAAAATAAAAAGTTAAAAAATTGCATCATGTCACGTCACAGACTAGGTCTCTTCAGTGGCTCCCCATTGCACTTAGAATAAAACCCCATTCCCACACCTTGACCGGCAAGGATGAGTGGTCTCTGGCCTCCAGCCCCCTCTTCTGTTCTCATCTTACTTCCTCGGTGGCTTTTTTTGTGCTGTCTCTTCTTTGGGGTGGCCCAGATACATCTTTTTCTTTTCTTTCCTGAAAAGATACAGATCATCGTTTATAGCTACAAACCTTGATCTATCAACCTCATATGTCAACGCTTAGGTTCAAATCACAGTGGCCAAGAGGTCATTGGTGATCTTTGGTGATGCTGAAATTCTAAAGCAGCAGAGGAGAGAGAGATGTAAAGAAATGGAGACAATAAGTTTGGGAAACTCATTTCTAGAAGTTTCGTTGTGAAACAGAAGGGAGAGCAATGGAGGTGGCTGAAGTGAGAAAGGATCAAGAGAAAATTCCTTTCATGAACTGTGATAGGATTGGGCATTGGTTGAATGAATATCCTTGTGAGAAAGTGAAAGTCACTCAGTCATGTCTGACTCTTATGACCCCATGGACTGCAGCCCGCCAGGCTCCTCTGTCCATGGAATTCTCCAGGCAAGAATACTGGAGTGGGTTGCTGTGCCCTTCTCCAGGGGATCTTCCTGACCCAGGGAACCTGGGTCTCCTGCATTGCAGGCAGATTCTTGACCATCTGAGCTATCAGAGGGAGATGCTGAGTTTTCAAGAAAGAGTAGGGACCATGGAGATGGTCAGGAGAGGTGGAAGGGTTGCTTTGGAGAGAAAGAATGAACTGGAAAGGAGCAGGCAGATGCAGCATTTACAGATGGGAGCAGGAAGAGGGGGAATTCCCATCTGATGCTTTTCTGTGAAACAGGAGGAATGGTCATCTGTTGTGCAAAAGGCAAGCAGTGAGGTATAAGAGGTTTGAAAATTTAAAACTTTTTTTTTTTTTAGATTTGAGAGGATCTTAAGAGGATCACAGGAAGTGGAGTGGTCACGCAGTGTGGGGGGTCACTGATGCTGGAGTCATGAAGACACTGTGAGAACACGCTGCCCAGACATGCGCCTCTCTCCGACTGTGCCTGATTTCAGGTACAGTAGTCTCCTCCAAGTTCTGCCAGGAAGGTCTAGGCAAAGACAAGAAGCAAAGCAGGTAAAGATAGCAGTAGGTGACAGAAACAATGGATCTGGCACTCTAAACTGGTAAGAAGGGTTATGAAGAAAGGCAGATAGGGCTTCTGTGGTGGCTCAGTGGTAAAAAATCTGCCTGCCCGTGCAGGAGACACGGGTTCCATCCCTGGTCAGGGAGGATCCCACATGTCTTGAAGCGACTCAGCCTGTGTGCCACAACAACTGAGCCTGTGCCCTAGAGCCGGGCAGTAGCAACTCCCGAAGCCCTCATGCCCTAGAGCCCATGCTCCCCAACAAGAGAAACCACTGCAATAAGAAGCCCATGCACTGCAATGAAGAGTAGCCCCCGCTTGCCACAGCTATAGGAAAGGTCAAGCACAGTACAGAAGACCCAGCACAGACAAAAATAAATAAATAAAAGAAAGGCAGATGATTGAATGAAGACAGGAAAGGCCCATGACTGGTCACCCAAATGATATTGAGAGAAAGCTGCAGAGGAAGAAATTTTAAAGAAGAAATCAGGGCGGGACAGATATTTTTGAATTCATTTTTGTAGAGAAGGAGAGATCAGAAGTTAAGCAATAGCTATAGAAGAAGAAAACTTGAAGCACTGAGTGTCAATAAAAGGAAATCTCAACTTATTGGGAAGTTGAGCCAGATTTTTTTTTTTTTTTTGAGCTAGATTTAAATGATGAAAAGGCCCTTTGGGCTTGGGAGGCCGAGATCGGGTGGGGGGGGAAAGTCATCGGAAATAAGGAGTTGAAGGATTTGAGAGGTCAGGGTCTTGGATGGGCCTGTTACTCACATGGACCTTGCAGGTGTCCAGGAGGATAGCAGGACTGGAAGTGATAGAAAGATTCTAAGTCAGCCTTGAGGTCTTCCAGGGAGTGGTGGAGAAGTCAACATATGACAGTGATGAAAAGGGAGTGAGCCCTTCACTTGATGGTTAAGCCTCAAAAGAGAGGATGGGGAGCAAGGGGCTGGGTGGGGCAGTGGGCAACCAGGGGTGGCATTCAACCTACCTTCCTACATGAGGAGAGGTTAGCAGAGAATATTCAGTCTTGTCTTAAGAGGAAGCAGTGTCCTATTGGGGACTTTCCATTAAAGAGGGAAGTGTAACTAGCCCTATAAGAAGTTGTGTGTGTAGGAGACCTTGATGATTTCAGAACAAAACAATTCCAATGGGTGTGTATTTCAATGGCCCCAAATGCCTTCTCATTTCCATATAATTTTCATGAAGGCCTTAGAGGAAGATGCAATGAATGGGAAACAAACTGTGTTGGGCATGATGCCTACAGTCACCTAGTGGGTGCTCATGACAAGATGCACCCCCAAAGGCAATCCTTACCTTTCTTGCTGGGAAGTGTCCTGGATGCTTCCTGGAGCTCCTTTGAGTCACTTGGTTCAGGGATATCATCTCTTCTCACTGACAAAAAAGTACAATTCATTTTAGAACTCAGAAAGTGCTGAGGGATTCTGGTGGGAGAAGCAGAGAGTGGAGAGCACCCCTAGTACAGGTCTGGGGATTCACCAGGTTCCCCGACTTGGCCTGTGTTTGATCAACTTGTGGTTACTGCTCCCTGTGTGATTATCACAGTGAACCGGGAACAACTGTCCCACAGAGGACTCAGTTGGAGTTCTTTAGAGAGATTCCCCTTTCCCAATGGAAGAAGAAGAAGAAAGACTCAGCAGCCAGTGTGCATGGTAATCTTGAATTCTGAGGGCCACAAAGAGGGTGAATGCCTTTGCCATATGAAAGATACATGCTATTGCTTAGATATCTGTGATGGGATATTTTGAAACTGCTGTATCTGTAATTATTCATCTTGAGAAATAGTGAAGAAGACTAAGTGCCTTATATACTTCCATCTATCTCTGTCGGAGAAAGCAGGAGTCAGCTTATGCTTGCCAGCATTTGTTAACCGCAAGAATACCCAAAGTTCTGCTAGTTTTTGCTGCCCTAAGAAAGACAGAAAGACCTGAAGCCATATCAAATAAGGGCCCATCTCACAAATGGCAGTCACTTTCTTGCTTACACAGTGCTATGAGATTTGTGTCAAGTTCCAGCCTGCAGAGGAATAGCTAATTGAGGCAGCTAGCCAGCAGTCCTCAGACTTTAAAAATGATTTGTTGCATTTCAAATTATTTAAATACCTTAAAAATCCAAATGATGTAAAAAATGATACAGTTTGAAAATGAAAGTTCCCACAGTCAAGGTGGGGGCTGGAAAGGAGGACCATCCACGTCTGGGGCACAGATTTAGAGTTAGGGTCACACAGTATTTTTGTTTGTTTTGCATTCTTTTTTGTCTGGTTTTCCTTTACTGTTCAAGCTATAGCTCAGGATAACCAAAATAGCTGATACGGGGAAGTTTATTTTTCCAGAAGCAATTCAGAGAGTTGAGCAGTTTGGATGGACATGTTACACAACATCATGGAATGCAATTTGCAAAACCCAACCTGTGTAAATATAAAGGGTACATGACCCAATTTAAAGAGTAAATTGCAAGGGAGGAAAAAAGTCACAAAAGTTGAAACTTGCCATGGTGGCAGAAGGATGGTGTCTTTATATATTTATTGGCTACCCCTCGATGCCTGTGGGATCTTAATTTCCAACCAGGGACTGAACTCTCACTGCCTGCATTGGAAGGTAGAGTCTTAACCACTGGACCACTGAGGAATTCCATTTTTAAAAAAAATTTATTTTAAATTGGAGAATAATTGCTTTTGCTTTACATTTTGATGCAGCAGTTTGGAGTTTTACCTACTCAAGTGGCCTCTGGGAGTTGCTGAGCCAAATAGTCCTTCCCCGCTGGGATTCATGCACCACTTGGAAGAGGAATGTTCCCTGTTTGCAGACTCCTTAGTGGTGTTTGGAGTCCAGGTCTTGATACTGTGCAGGACCCGAGGGGTCCTGGGCACAAAAGCTTTTCTCTGTCCCCCATTTCTTAAATACAGGAAATAGGCTTCATCTGACCTCCAAGGCCTTCCCTAAATTCCAACCAGCATGTTCAAACAGATGCTAATTAGGGAAGGGAGTGGGGTGTGGAGATAAGGGAGAAAGGAATAATAGTACAGCCTGGGCTCCCTCTCAAGGGATACACAGGGCAATATTGTGACCTGTTTTGCAGATACTGAAACCCTCACCCTGTGGGAGAAATGAACAGTTTGCTGCCCATAAGCACAGAGACCCCCGAATGGCAGAAACAAGAGGTTGATCATGCTGTCTCCCAATTACCTCACCACCGACCAATCAGAAGAACATCCATGGGCTACACCCTCTCTGAACCGCAAATATAAAACTTCTCACTTACTCTGTCCAAACTGGGACACACAATTTTGAGAACATTAACCTGCTGTGGTCCCTTTTGCCTGCAAAGCAATACAGCTGTCCTTTTCTACTTCATCCAAAACTCTGTCTCTGAGATATATCAGTAATTCGGCATCAGGGTACAGAGGCTGGATTCGGCTTCAGTCGGGTCAGTACTAGTGGGGTTTCTGTCCCTCACCATCAGTGTCCCTTCTCCATCCACCTTTCCCAGACCCATCTACCTCACCCCACCATCCATCCCCGCCCCGGGACTCTGTCTCCTTTCAGGAGCTCTGGTTTCCTGTCTGTTCAAGCTCCCGAGGGCAGGGAGTGAGCAGCAGTGGGAAAGCTGGACCATGATGGTGATGGAGAGTGGAGAGAAGAGCCCTGGATGTTCTGAATGACTTTTCCTCATATTAGACACAAAAGTTAAGGTAAGCCTGTGTGTGTGTGTGTGTGTGTGTGTGTGTGTGTGTGTGTGTGTGTGTGAATTGCTCAGTCATATCCTACTCTTTGTGACCCGATGGACCCTCCAGGCTCCTCTGTCCATGGGATTGTCCAGACAAGAATATTGGAGTGGGTTGCCATTCCCTTCTCCAGGGGATCTTCTTGACCCAAGGAACCTGCATCTCTTGCATTGCAGGCAGACTCTTTAGTGTCTGAACCACCAGTGAAGCCCCAAGGTGAGGCTGAATAGTTCAAATCTAGATTACCTGGCACAGGGTCTGAGGAAGTGCAGGGCATCTCTTGAGTGTCTTCTTTATCTTTTATACGAGGGATCAGGTTGTCACTGGACACTGAGCAGAGGAAGAAAAGAAGTTTCAGATACCAGGACCCACCAGCAGGAACCAGAGGTGGGAGGAACAAGAACAATCTATTCTAGCAGGTAAAAATGATGGGCCAGCTGAATACCAAGGCTCCTCCAGGGTGGGGTAGGCAGGGAGGGAGAACAATCTTTTCCTTTCTTTCTTTCTCCCCCTCCCTCAGCTACGGGCCATGCTGCAGGGCTTGAGAGATCTCAGTTCCCCAGCCAGGGATCAAATCCAGGCCCACGACAATGAAAGCACTGAGTCTTAATCACCATACTGCCAGGTAATTCCCCAATCATTTCCTTTCAATTAGTCTCTTCTTAATGTAAAAATAGCACTTATTTTGTTTTAAATCTAGAAGATGGACTCTTGTTATTGGCGTCATGATTATGTTAACCTTGTGTACATGCATGCATGCTCAGTTGTGTCTGACTTTTTCGACTCCATGGACTGTAGACACTAGGCTCTTCTGTCTAAGGAATTCTCCAGGTGAGAATATTGGAGTGAGTTGCCATTTCCTTCTCCAGGGGTTCTTCCTGACCCAGGGATTGAACCCACGTCTCCTGCAGCTCCTGCAGCTCCTGCATTGGCAGGCAGATTCTTTAGCACTGTGACACCTGGGAAGCCCCTATGTTAACCTTATTTGGATGGTAATTTTAGATGAGTGCAGAAAACATTTGGACCAAATAAGACCCTTTATTCCCAGTATTGGAGAGCTCAGAATCCATGATACCATTTTTAACAGTGACCAATAATATTCCACAGTTACATTTTACATAATCAAAGTGCTTTATCCTGATAGTTGGGGGAGATAAATGACATAACTGTAGAAGTGAAATCAGGCTCAGCAACCTTTAAACATTTGGTCATCTTTCCTAATAATTTCAGTAACATTCCTCGTAGAATCCAAGCTATATGAAAATGAATCTGGTTTAAACGGATGTCCCTGTAATCAGAGGGTGAGCAATCTGTAAAGCATTAAGGCTGCTTGTTGCCCAAGTTACTTGACAATTCAGAGCAGTGTGTCCTGAGTGCTGGGTGGGCAGGGCTCTTGGACATCACAGTGTAAATGGCTGTGACAGCATCCCTGACAAGAGGTTAAGTGCATGGACCTCTGCTTCTTTTCCTTGTCACACCAGTGCTTTTTCCTGGGATTCCTGCCACAGCCCTCTTGACTTACAGGCAAGTGTTCTTCCTTCACAGCCACCTTAAGCTGGGCAAGTCAGCTCCAAGCAACATTGCTCTGAACAGGGACAGGGGAGTGCAGGTATCCTTTATGAATATTCATCACTTATTTGGGGTGTTGTTGTTGGTCATTTATGTGTCTGAGTGTTAGTCGCTCAGTCATGTCCAACTCTGCGACCCCACGGACTGTAGTCCGCCAGGCTCCTCTCTCCATGGAATTCTTCGGGCAAGAATACTGGAGTGGGCTGCCATTTCCTTCTCCAGGGGATCTTCCTGACCCAGAGATCGAACCTGGGTCTCCTGCATTGCAGGCAGGCACTTTACGGTCTGAGCCGCCAGAGAAGCCAGAGAAAACCATCGTGGGCTACAGGGACAGGATGTCAGGGAGAGGAGTGAGCAGTTAAAACGCCAGGAGCCAGCAGAGTACAAGAGCCAAAGAGCAGAGGCTGGGGCTGTCCTAAGGGTGAGAAGCAGGTGTTCTGGGCTCCAGGCCTCACCCAGGCTCCTGGCAGTGCCCACACTCCTTCTTGGAAAGAGCTGTGTATGGTAGTGGGAGCTCGGGAAGAAGCAGGTCAACAAAGAGACGGGGCCCTGGGGTTCCAGGGCCACAGGCACCCTAGGCTGGGGGGGCACCGGTGTTGGATGGAGTCCGTGTCTCACCTGGACTGAGTCTTCCTTCCTGGATGGCTCCCCGGAGAGCCACGGTGGGGTCGGTAGGGCTGGGCAGCTCACACAGGACCTCAGAGCTGTGCTGGGCCGGTGCTCCGGGCTCGCTGACACTGGGTACATAGGGCGGGAGGCTCCGTAGGGGGAGTCGGCAGGGAAGATGCGGCAGGGGCAGGGTCCTCGAGGAGCTCCTTCCTGCTGGGTTGGCTGGGGCTTCGAGAGGGATGGTTGTGATTCTGCTCCAGCCTCCATGGGAAGTGACAACTGGGATTGGCAAAGGACTGCACATAAGTTATGTCGGAATTGTTTGGGGAAGAGATTTCTTTCTTTTTTTTTTCAACTTTATATTTTGTATTGAAGTATAGCTGATTAACAATGTTGTGATAATTTCAGATGAACAGTGAAGGGACTCAACCACACTCTTGAGAGAGAATGGTCCATCTCTTCCCAAAGAGAAAGTGGGGAGTTAAAGTGCATATTCCTCAAGGCAGAAAACCAGTTTGAACTGGTTTAGCATAGCAACTTGTATCATGTTCCTAAAGCCCAAAGGTATTCATGAAGCCTTGGACTTGGTCAAGAATCCACCTGCCAATGCAGGGAACATGAGTTTGATCCCTGATCCGGGAAGATCCCACATGCCACAGAGCAGCTAAGCCCATGTGCCACGACTACTGAGCCTGTGATCCTCTAGAAGAGAAGCCACTGTATTGAGAAACTCAAGCACTGCAACAAAGTCTAGGTCCTGCTCACTGCAACCAGAAAAAGCCTGCTCAAAGCAATGAAGATTCAGCACAGCCAAATAATAATAAATAAATAAATAAAAAATTTTTAAAAAGAGCCTCATACCTCTTGTGAAGCTATTGAGAGTCGTTATCAGGTTGGGATATTCCTTCAGGTTAATTTGGCTGAACAGTATCTTCAAAAATGACAGACTAAATGTCTTCTCCTGTTGGGTAAGAATGTTGTACACGACTCTGGATAAAGGGACCAGATTTTCCCAGGCTTCCATAGATTCCTTAAAAAGCAGAATAAAGGATTATCATAGATGATTATAAAATGGAATGGAGATTTATCACACATTTGTGGTTTTCTAAGCTGTAAGAAAGCGATTTTTGCTCTTAAGGAATTTAATGCAAACTGTGTGGCCAAACCCTCTAACAAAGAGAAACCACATTTCCACATGTTTATTTTTGGAGCTTCATATATATTGATATTTGAGTGGTTAGTCACAGGAGTTTAGCATCCTGGAAAATAAGTTTCTCTTGTGAACCTTATTTTAGGTACATTTGAGAGAAGAGAGAAATGTTAAGGAAGAAAAGTGGAGACAAAGACTGCTCCTGTCTAATTTTCCAAGACTCTGGCCAGGACTCTTTAGCTGTGGATCTACGAATTGGTCACAAGTGGCTCTGCTCTCTCTTTCCTTCTCTCATGAACTTGAAATGCCCTAAATAGGAAATCTGAGAAATCCTCCTGAGAAGTTGACCAAGAGGAGAAACATGGCAGGAGAGAATTGACTGAAAAATACTTGTTGAGCAATGACTTGGTTTGGTGAGCAATGACTGGGTTTGGGTATCTAGCAACAGATAAGACCAACACGGTGCTACCGTGTTGGAGGAGGGGCGCTAGGGGGTTGAAATGATAGGCGTTAAATAATAAACACAAATAAATACCCAGTTCCTATCAAAAGCAGTGTTATGAAGGAAAGTGTAATTTGCTATGAGGAAGAATACTAAGGGGGACTTAATTAGATGAGTAGGCTAAGGATGCCTCTCTGAGGAGTGATGAGAGAGTTAATTCTTAGGTAGATTCATAAGGAGTCCAGGGCCCTCAAGGAGGAAGGGGTCCGGGGCCCTTGAGAAGGAGAAAGGGGTCTGGGGCTCTCAAAGAGGAGAAAACGACAAATGCTTTTTTCTACATTGCTTTGTCTTAGTCACATAAGATGTTATTTTCTTTAAGTTCAGAGCTAATGATTACACAACAAAACTCATCTTGAAATCTGTACTAAGGATTATATAACAATAATGCATCTTGCATTGAGGACATCTTTCTTCTTCATAAAAAGGAAACTTCTGACTTATCTTGTTATCTTAAGACTGTATGTTGTGGGAGTGGGTCTGGTAAGACCTTTCTACTGTTTTAATCTTGTTAATTTAAGATATATATTGTAGGAGTGGGTCTGGTAAAAGTATATAAGGCCTTGATAAGAGTAGTGGATGGGCACTCTTTGTCCCCCTTCTGATGTCTGTGTCAGAAGTTTTCTTTGTCCTTTTTCACTTTAATAAAACTCTGCTACACAAAAGCTCTTGAGGGATAAAGCCTGGTTCCTGATCCTGAAGCTAAATCTTCTTTGGAGATCACAAATCTGACATCATTCACTCTAAGCTATCAGTGACACCCTGATCATGATCTGAAAAGGGGTTGGATCCAACTGGGCCAAGACTGGGGGAAGATTGTCCTACCACTGCTAGCACTTTTCTGGGGCTCAGATTCTTAGCGCTCAATAAATGCTTTAAGTAACCTAAATTATATGAAAAGAATCTCACTTTGTCCACATAACCATATTTCCCACTGTCTGCCTTGCTTCACATCAGAATGGGCTTTGAGTGACAAACTCTTGTGGATTGAATGGTGCCTCCTTCTATCCAAAGATATGTCTGCTTGAAATCTGTGAATGAGGCTGTGTTTGGAAAAAGGGTCTTACAGGTAAAATTAAGTTAAGAATATTAAAATGAGACCATCCTGGATTACGGTAGGCCCTAAATCACAGTGACAAAGTGTCCTTGTAAGAGAAGAAAAAGGGAGAAGGTACAGTTGAGAAGGCAGTGTAGAGATGGAAAGAACGTGTGAAGTGAAGTTTCTATAAACCAGGTTCACCATGGGTTGCTGGAAGTAGTAGAAGACAGAGGAATTCAGGGACTGGATTGTCCCTGAGTCTTGAGAAGGAGCCAACTCTGCCAACACCTTGATTTTGGACTTCTGGACCTCAGAACTGTGAGAGAACATATTTCTTTGTTTTAAGCCATCTAGTTTGAAGTCACCTACCTTGGACACCTTCTTTCTTTGGTAATGACCATTTTAGTCTGGAACTTCCAAAGTCTAGAAGCTCTGGAGTATTGTGGTTTGAGACCTCAACAGTCAGGCATTCTTGGTTGGGGTGGGTTGCCATGGCAAAGCACCAAGTGACTCACCCTGTACAGTCTCTCGGTGATGAAGAAGTTGTCTCGGAGGCCTTCAAAGAAGGGAAATGGCTTGTTGATGGCATAAGCGATCTCCAGCTTCTGATGTATGAAGTGCTGAAGAAGAGCCTCTTCTAAGGCCCTGGTCATGGTGGCTCTCCTACAGAAGGGGCACAAGAAGAAAGGAGAAGCAAAGATTTTGCAGAGTTAGGGGAGTCATTCTCTGTGCTGCACAGACATCTGGAGATAAGCATTCTGGTTCCCAAAGGCATCCCTTAGTGGTCCACAAAGCGACCTCTGATGAAAAGACTCATGGGCATAGGAAGCAGTGACTATGCTCAGCCACACAGAGGGCAAAGTGACCCACAGTGTGACGCAGGAATCCCGAAAGGGCAGCTGGTAATAAACAGGGCCACTATGTACCAAGTGCTTCCTGTGTCCATTTCACATCTCAGAACAGACATGGCTTTTCCCATGCCCGTGGGACATCATAATAGTTGACCCTTTATAAGTCATGCAAAAATATCAATAACTTACAATAGGAAGAAAATGCACCTTTGATTTCTTGAAAAATTGTTGAGAAAAGGGAAGCAGTAACAAAAAATTCAATCACCTAGAGATTTTTTAAAAAACAAAATGAACATGCATCTTTTTTTCCAACTTCATATCGAAGAGAAAATTGAACTGTAATTAAGGAGACACAGGAGACTCAAGTTCAATCCCTGGGGTTGGGAAGATTCCCTGGAGTAGGAAATGGCAACCCACTCCAGTATTCTTGCCTGGAAAATTCCATGGACAGAGGAGCCTGGTGGGTTGTAGTCCATGGGGTCGCAGAGCTGGACATGACTGAGTATGAATGCACAATGATTTTCTAGGTATTTAATCCCAGTGGCAGATTGAGCACCCATGTCTCTTTCTCCTCATTCCCAAATATGTTAAGTTTAACAGAAAAAAAATATATGTTGTAAAAAACAATCATCACAACAGTACCAGAAAACAAAAGAAGATGCTATTGGGATAATCATGAAGAAATCCTAGAAGATAGAGAACCAATGGGAAAGGAACTAACTGTTCACCATCTGCATGGGGGAAGGATATTGCAAAGATCAGCACAGAGCCAGAAAGCACCAGAATTACCACTTGCAGAGATGAGGAAGGGGCCCTGAATGACGAATTATACCACAGCATTCAGAACAGAACATCCATCATATTCCTCACTCTTCATCTGTTGTGATTGCCAAGGATGTACTTGAGGCACAGAGAGGTTAAATAACTAGCCTAAAGTATTTGGAAAAGGTCTGTTTTCATTCCAATCCCTAAGAAAGGCAATCCCAAAGAATGCTCAAACTACTGCACAATTGCACTCATCTCACATGCTAGTAAAGTAATGCTCAAAATTCTGCAAGCCAGGCTTCAGCAATACGTGAATCAAGAACTTCCAGATGTTCAAGCTGGTTTTAGAAAAGGCAGTGGAACCAGAGGTCAAATTGCCAATATCTGCTGGATCATCGAAAAAGCAAGAGAGTTCCAGAAAAACATCTATTTCTGCTTTATTGACTACGCCAAAGCCTTCGACTCTGTGGATCACAATAAACTGTGGAAAATTCTGAAGGAGATGGGAATACCAGACCACCTGACCTGCCTCTTGAGAAACCTGTATGCAGGTCAGGAAGCAACAGTTAGAACTGGACATGGAACAACAGACTGGTTCCAAATAGGAAAAGGAGTATGTCAAGGCTGCATATTGTCACCCTGCTTATTTAACTTATATGCAGAGTGCATCATGAGAAATGCTGGGCTGGAAGAAGCACAAGCTGGAATTAAGATTGCCGGGAGAAATATCAATAAACTCAGATATACAGATGGCACCACCCTTATGGCAGAAAGTGAAGAGGAACTAAAAAGCCTCTTAATGAAAGTGAAAGAGGAGAGTGAAAAAGTTGGCTTAAAGCTCACCATTCAGAAAACTAAGATCATGGCATCTGGTCCCATCACCTCATGGGAAATAAATGGGGAGACAGTGGAAACAGTGTCAGACTTTATTTTTGGGGGGCTCCAAAATCACTGCAGATGGTGACTACAGTCATGAAATTAAAAGACGCTTACTCCTTGGAAGGAAAGTTATGACCAACCTAGATAGCATATTAAGAAACAGAGACATTACTTTGCCAACAAAAGTCTGTCTGGTCAAGGCTATGGTTTTTCCAGTGGTCATGTATGGATGTGAGAGTTGGACTGTTAAGAAAGCTGAGTGCCGAAGAATTGATGCTTTTGAACTGTGGTGTTGGAGAAGACTCTTGAGAGTCCCTTGAACTGCAAGGGGATCCAACCAGTCCATCCTGAAGGAGATCAGTCCTGGGTGTTCATTGGAAGGACTGATGCTGAAGCTGAAACTCCAAAACTTTGGCCACCTGATGCAAAGAGTTGACTCATTGGAAAAGACCCTGATGCTGGGAGGGATCGGGGGCAGGAGGAGAAGGGGATGACAGAGGATGAGATGGCTGGATGGCATCACCGACTTGATGGGCATGAGTTTGAGTAAACTCTGGGAGTTGGTGATGGACAGGGAGGCCTGGCATGCTGCGATTCATGGGGTCGCAAATAGTTGGATACGACTGAGTGACTGAACTGAACTGAACTGAAAGTGTTTGGTGGCCAAGCAGAACTCATTTGACCAAAGTCCCATTTCTCACTAGTGCAAGATACAGCAGGCATCTCATAGATGAGTATTCAGGTGCGCATTATGTAAAAGGGTATTAAAAAGGAATGAGCAAAGGCAAACATCCAGTAAGGGAAAAAACAAAATAAAAGACATACACAGACAACTGAGTCAAATGCACAATAAATATATAAAAAAATGGTAACTCGATAGTAATCAGAGCAGTGTAAGCAAAGACAAGTTTGTAACATTTGCCTGTCAAGTTGGTCAAGATACAAATAATAGCAATAATCATAGACACTCCTAGTCCAGATACAAACAGGTCCCAACATTCTGGAGATTAATTTAGTAACCAGTACCAAATACCCTAAAATATATACCCCCTCGAGTCCTAAATTCCATTTCTGGGAATTTATTTCAAGAAAATAATCATGAATGTGCTTCAAGAAAAAGTATTGAAAAGTGGATACACTAGAGCAGAAATGAAATATCCTCTCCTGAGTTTCTCTTTCCCACTAATTCCCAGCTACTTCTGGTCACTTGTACAGTGAATAATAAATGAGCTGCCCATTGGGGGCAGAGTGCAGGATCACTCTTCATGGCCAATGAAGATAGAAAGCAAAACTTAAGTTCCAACCACAAAAACAAACTAGAATTTAGGGAAAAAAGAATTGAGTTGCATTTGCTTCCCCTTGTCTTTTGTCTTCTTTTTAACCATCTCCTACTAAATCCCACAGTCCCCTCTCTGACTCTTTGGAAAATACTATTTTACAAAGAAAGAGAGTCACAGTTTAAATTGTTTAGTTTCACGCAGCAGCTGCAGCTGCTGCCAGGACATAAATGGTAAAAGCCAATCACCCAAAGTGAATAAAGCAGCCTAGATGAAAACCCACCTGGATGCTGAGATGGCTACCTGTTCGTGCTCCCTTACGGATCCAGAGGCTGGCCTGGGGTAGCTCCTGGGAGGCTGGCAGAAGGGCAGAGAGAGACCAGTGGGCAAAACAGGAAGTCTCTGCTTTGCTACACATGACGACGGCCTGGCTTCCAGGAAAGGAAAGTGAAAGTACTTGGGCTGATCCTACAGAGCTGCCTCCGAGTCTGCAGCCTCCCTCTACCTCCGGAAACTGGTGAGATTCCCAGGGCATGTGGGGGCTGAGGAGGGGGATTGCTGCTTATCGGTACCGTCCTGGGAGGTGGGTACAGAGGGGAGGCCTAGGGGTCAGCCCCAGGGTCCCCAGGAACTGGGAATCTGCCATCTGTTTGCTTTCCTACCCACCTCTATGTTTCCCCTGGACTCCTCTTCCTTCTGTACTTTTTGGAGTAATGAAAATGTACCTAAACTGAGTTGTGGTGATGGTGATGGTTACACAACTAAATAAATTTGCTAGAGATCATCAAATTTAAGGGAAAAAAACAAAACAGAGGTGAGGTGACTCAGAAATGCCTGTACTTTGTCAGGATAAAATTACTATCCAAGAAAATTGAAACCGAAGGAAACCCAAACATAAACTGAAATCATGCCGTGGCAGGCAGACCTCCAGGCAGGAAGTGTCTTTGAATAGGCTGGCAGGTGGGAGCTGGGAGCATGTGAAACCCGGATCTAGGGCAGAGTCGGGGCTGGGAGACCCCTCCAAGGAGGCAGGGAATGCCCCCTGTGTACAGCCCGTTAAAGATTTCTAATATGTGATATTGTGCAGGGTCTGTGAGAAATCCTTTAATGTGGAAATCTGTTTAACTTTCTTTAAATCACTGCTTACTCCTTGGGGGAAAAGTTATGACCAAACTAGACAGCATATTAAAAAGCAGAGACGTCACTTTGCCAACAAAAGTCCATCTAGTCAAGGCTATGGTTTTTCCAGTAGTCATGTATGGATGTGAGAGTTGGACTATAAAGAAAGCTGAGCACCGAAGAACTGATACTTTTGAATTATGGCATTGGAGAAGACTCTTGAGAGTCCCTTAGACTGCAAGGAGATCCAGCCAGTCCATCCTAAAGGAAATCAGTCTTGAATATTCATTGGAAGGACTGATGTTGAAGCTGAAACTCCAATACTTTGACCTGATTCGAAGAACTAACTCATTTGAAAAGACCCTGATGCTGGGAAAGATTGAAGGCGGGAGGAGAAGGGGACGACAGAGAATGAGATGGTTGGATGGCATCACTGACTCAATGGACATGAGTTTGAGTAAACTCTGGGAGTTGGTGATGGACAGGGAGGCCTGGCGTGCTGCAGTCCATGGGGTGGCAAAGAGTCTGACACAACTGAGCTACTGAACTGAACTGAACTGATATCACTGATGCTCAAATGTATTCAGTCCATGGGTTCCCCTACCAGGACACATACAGTGTCCTATCCCTCAGGGAAAAAAAAAAAGGGAAACACAGTTCTAAGGTCTAAGAATCCTTGAAACCAAGATTAACCTACACGGGCAAGAGCTCAATTTTATTGAAGCATAAAATGCATGAAAATAGACAGTGGGAAAACAGAAGCTAAAGTTCCTATCATTATCTGACTGATGCAGAATATTGCCAAGTAAAGTTTTCTTGTAAATTTGGCAGAAAAACCCCCTAAGCCCTAATCTTACTACCATCAGCTGAGGAACTCCAAAGACCTTGTGCTTATAAGCAAAAGAGGCGGCCTATTTATGCCAGCTGGTCTAGTCTGTGTCCGACTTTGTTGGGGCCACTGTGCCCAATGGAGTTAAAAAACCAAGGACAGCTATGCCCACCAGAGGCAGAGCTTACTAGCCTCTTTGCTCACAAAGTGAGGGAGAGAGAGAAGTGGGCAGCCCCAAGTATGTCAGCACCTGGTAGGCACATGGACTCTGCTCATCTACTGGGATCTGCTCATCTACTGGGCTCATCACGTCCTGGCACCTGGAATCTGGCCCAGCCAGATTCGTGTTCACTTCTTTGGGGGGAAGAGAATAGACGAGGGTAGAGAGGTAGAAATCTTCTGCCTCCTATACTTGGAAAACATGTTTATGCAGATTTTTGAGCATCCCTATAGTGAGTCAGAGGCACTGGGATTCGGTGAAACATACTTCGGAAACACTACTAGGATTTTCCCAGTTCTCACCTCCTTTGGCCCATGATTCTCACCAAGACCCTGGATTCTATAGACACATTGACTCTCATTCACCTCTATCTTTGACCCATTGTCCTGCCTAGATTTCTATTCCTCTGGTTTTATTTATTTACCTGTGCTTTGCCCCTGTTCCTTTATCTTTCAACTTTATGCTAATGTAGTGTGCTTTTCCTGAGTGCCTGTTAAGTCGCTCCAGTCCTGTCTGACTCTCTGAGACCATGTTGGGCTTCTCTGTCAGATTCTCCAGACAAGAATACTGGAGTGGGTTGCCATGCCTTCCTCTAGGGGATCTTCCAGACCCAGGGATGGAACCAGCTTCTCTTATGTCTCCTGCGTTGGCAGGTGGGTTCTTTACCACCAGCTCCACCAAACTTTTCCAAAGTTGCTTCAAATCCTTTACAAAATGAGAGCTAGGTATAAATGAAAAAATGATGTACAAACATAAATGTAACACACTTGTTGCTAGCGCCATCACTTTGTCCTTTAAGATGTAGGGAGTCTTAGTTCTAAATCCTTCCCCCATCCAAAGAAAAGCCTGTCACTTTGAGATTTCAGAGACTAGTTGAAGGGAGGAGCCAAGATGGCGGAGGAATAGGACGGGGAGACCACTTTCTCCCCTACAAATTCATCGAAAGAACATTTGAACGCTGAGCAAACTTCACAAAACAACTTCTGACCGCTAGCAGAAGACATCAGGTGCCCAGAAAAGCAGCCCATGTCTTCGAAAGGAGCACGACTGAACCAGCGAACCTAAACCTCCGCCCGCCTGTGTCAGGGTGGAAATTAGACACTGAAGAGCCCGGCAAACAGAAGCCAAATAAACAAAGGGAACCCTTCAGAAGGGACCGGTGCAACAGATTGAAATCCCAGTAGATAACACCGACTACACCGGAAGGGGCCTATAGATATTGAGAAGTGTAAGCTGGAAGGAGGAGCTATCTGAAACTGAACCGAACCCACACTGACCGCAACAGCTCCAGAGAAATTCCTAGATATAATTTACTTTTTTTTTTTTAATTAAAAAAATTTTTTCTTTTTTTCTTTTTTATTTTTTTCTCTTTTATTTTCTTTTAAAATTCCCTATTGCTCCCCCATTACTCCTTAACTTTCATTTCCATTTTCATATATTTTTACTATTTTTTTAATTAGGAAAAAAATTTTTTTTCCTGTTTTATTTTTTCCTCTTATTTTCTTTTAAAGTCCTTTATTACTCCTCTATTACTCCTTAATTTTCATTTTCATCTCACTATAACCTTGCAAAAAAAAAAAGGAGCCATATTTTTAAACCGAATTTCATATATATTTCTAAATTTTTTTGTGTTTTTGTTTTTAATATTGTATTTTTAAGAGTTTAACCTCTACTCTAGATTTTTAATCTTTGTTTTTCAGTATTTGATATCAATTTTGGACATTTAAGAATCCAATATTCAGTACCCATTTTTACTCAGGAGTGTGTTGATTACTCTCTCCCACTTTTGACTCTCCGTTTTCTACCTCAGAACACCTCTATTTCCTCCTTTCCCCTTCTCTTCCCAATCCAATTCTGTGAATCTTTGTGGGTGTCTGGGCTACGGAGAACACTCTGGGAACAGAGAACTGCGTAGATCCATCTCTCTCCTCTTGAGTCCCCCTTTTTCTCCTCCTGCTCACCTCTATCTCCCTCCTCCCTCTCCTCTTCTTCATGTAACTCTGTGAACCTCTCTGGGTGTCCCTCATGGTGGAGAATCCTGTCACCATTAACCTAGAAGTTTTATTATCAGTGCTGTATAGTTGGAGAAGTCTTGAGACTACTGGAAGAATAAGACTGAAATCCAGAGGCAGGAGACTTAAGCCCCAAACCTGAGAACACCAGAAAACTCCTGACTACATGGAACATTAAGTAATAAGAGACCATCCAAAAGCCTCCATACCTACACTGAAACCAACCACCACCCAAGAGCCAATAAGTTCCAGAGCAAGACATACCACGCAAATTTTCTAGCAACGCAGGAACATAGCCCTGAGCGTCAACATACAGGCTGCCCAAAGTCACACCTAACACATAGACCATCTCAAAACTCATTACTGGACACTCCATCACACTCCAGAGAGAAGAAATCCAGTTCCACGCGCCAGAACATCGACGCAAGCTTCCCTAACCAGGAAACCTTGACAAACCAATCGTCCAACCCCATCCACTGGGTGAAACCTCCACATTAAAAAGGAACCACAGACCACCAGAATACAGAGACTAGTTGAAGCTCAATTTTTTTCCTAAGCATTCCTGGTTGCATTTGAAAAGTGCCCATAGATTCAAGAAAACTTAGAATTGCACATCAGTCTTCTATGTCCAAACTTAGCTCTTCCTTCTGGTTGCAGGAGTTTGGAGAGGTCTTTCTGGCCTCTGGCTGCTTTCCAGAATTTGAAGAATATTTTCTCCAGCGTTTTGGTTCTCTCCAGTCCTGGGTATGAATACTGGATCTGAATACTGGGTCCGACTTCATCCAGTCCAGGCTTACGACTGTGCCGGGTCAGCCCATGGGCCTATGAGAAAATCTGAAATGTCTGGCTTTCCGTTTTTTTTCTTCTCACAGTCACGTTGGCAGGGGGCAGGAGCAAACGTGGTTTCTTCCTCCTGGTCAGCACTGTGCCACTTCACCTCAAAACACATCTGATTTATTTGAGTTCAAAGAGCTTTCCTGCCCTTTCCTCTTTGCAGGAGCAAGGGGTTCCCTCTCTCCTCTGGATGCTCTGCTCCTCCTCCCTGGGGCCTGAGACCGGGAGGAGGAAAGACCAGTGTGTTGACACCCAGTTCAGCTGTTTCACTTTTCTTCTACCCTTTAGGTGCCGCACCTGAGGGGCTGACAGATGGGCAGACTTTCTTGTCACAGCTCCGGGAAAGGACAGAGGAAGTAAAAATCTAAGCAAGAGTGATCTGGGGCTGGCTCCATGGTCTAAGAAGAAGATGGCAAGTGCAGGCAGCTCCTCAAACTGCAGGTTAGTCCTGGCCTCCTCTGTCCTGCATCTCTCATAAGGAGAGAGCATGTCCTGGCGTCCATACTCGTTATTTCTGTCTGCCCAGTCTCAGCCTGCAGGTATAAACAGAATGAGATGACAAATCAATTAATGAGTGAGGGCGATTTCAAAAATGTCGGTGGATTAGCTGTGGGGGAAACTGAAGGACACCTTGACCGGCGCCCCCTTCTTATTCTCCTGTAACCGCCATGGAGCTGGGTGGGCCCTGTTGGAACTCCCTGGTCCCTCGAGGGCTTGCCGCAAGGCTGGGGGATTCCTTGTGACCTCTGAACCCTCTCATTTCTCCCAATGCCTTCTCCATCCCTACCTCCAAAGACAATTCTGTCCAGGAAGCATCTTTTTAGAAAAATTAACATCCAAATCGATCGCCCAACTCTCGGTAAAAACGTTGTGCAGTTTCTGGGTAGTAGTGGTGGGGGTGGGGGGGGTGGGGTACCAGTTTTGTCAGAGCCCTGAGTCTGAGAGTCAACTCAGGAACTTGCTTGGAGGAACTGAAAGTAGATGGGGTTCAACATGAATGAATGCAGGCAGGGAGGCAGCGGCTGTCTTTTCTATTCTGGGATGTATTACACATCTGGCTAGAGAAAGGGAAATAGTCTTTGAAAAAGAGAAGACTTATTGTCAACCATCAATCCATTTTTATGGTAAACAATTTAAGCAGTGTAAAAGTGTATGATGACTCCTGTAACATGGGCTGCCAAGCTGGGGATATTTCTGGCACCAGCTGGGCCCCAGCATTTCTACCTGCAGTGGTGCAGCCTGCCAGGTCCTTAGTGCCCAGCGCCCTTTCTCCTAGAGGCTGACTCTGCATCCCTGCTCCCACTTGCTCCTGAGAGATGGGAGAATGAGCCAGTGGAGCTTGAAGTCCAACTAGCCTTTGGCTTCCAGGCAGGAAAAGAAAGGCTCTGAGAGGTGAGGGTGGGGTAATGCTGATCTCATAGAATGAGCTAGGAGGGTATACATCTTCTTCTATTTCCTGGAAGAGGTCATAGTTGAAATGGTTTGGTAGAATTCACTAGTGATACCATCTGGGCCTGGTGCTTTCTTTTTTGGAGGGCTATTAGTTATTGATTCAGTTCCTTTAATAGATATAGACCTATTCAGATGAGCTATCTCTTCGTGTGAGTTTGGCAGTTTGTTTCAAGGTTTGCCCATTTTATCAAATTTGTAGGGATAGCATAATCTGTAGTATTATTTCTGTATTATCCTTTTAATGTTCATAGGATTAATAGTGATGAGCCCTGTTTTGTTTTTGATATTGGTAATTTCTGCCATCATTTTCTTTATTAGTCTAGGTAGAAGTTTATCAGTTATTTATTTATCAATAGTTTATCAATTATTGTATTGATTTTTAAAAATTAGCTTCTGGTTTCATTGGTTTTTTTCTGCTTTCCTGTTTCAGTGTTATTGATTATTGCCCGATTTTTATGATTTCTTCTGCTTGATGTAGGCTTAAATTTCTCCTTTTTCTCTAGTTTCTTCAGATGGAAGCTTATATTATTGATTTAAATCTTTCTTCTAATATGCATTTTAACACCACACATGTCTCTCTAAGCACTTTTGTGCTGCATTCTGTAACTTTTGTGAAAGTGTGTTTTCATTTTAATTTCATTTTAAATAATTTTAAATTTCTCTTGAGACTTCTTTGATTCTAGAAATAGGCTATTTTGTCTTTAAGTATTCTGGAATTTTCAAAATACACAGCTACATTTCTGTTATTTCTACTTTTATTGTGGTCTGAGAATATATTTTTTTCTGATTTATTTTCTTTTTAATTTGTTAAGGTAAGTTTTACAGCTCAGAATGTGGTACATTTTAGCAAATATTTCATGTGAGCATGAGTGGTGTGTATATTTTGTCACTGTAGAATAAATAGTCTTTAAGTGTCAAGTAAATCAGATTGGTGGTGCTGTTCAGGTCAACTATATTTTTACTTACTTTCTGCCTCCTGTTCTATCAAGCACTAAAAGAGGGGTATTGAATTCTCCAACAGGAGCAGATTTGTCTATTTCTTCTTGTAGTTCTATCAAATTTTGTCTCGTATTTTGATGCTACTTAGATTAGTTGCATATACATTAAGGATTGCTAAATCTTCCTGGAGAAATTTGCTCTTTATATAATACTTCTCTTTGTCTCTGAAATTTTCCTTACTCTGAGGTTTTCTCTGAAATTAATGTAGCTACTACAACTTTCCTGTGATTAATGCTGGCATGGAATTTCTTCATCCCTTCACTTTTAACCCATCTGTGTTTTACATTCAAAGTTCCTTTCTCAAAGACAATATATAGTTGGGTGTTACTTTTTCACTCTGTCAATCTCTGTCTTTTAATTGGTGTTTTTAGACCATTCATACTTAAAGTGATTATTCCTGTGGTTGGATTAAAATCTACCATGTTTGTAACTGTTTTTTAATCATTCTGCTTATTTGCTTCCATTTTTATTCCTTTCTTTTTCTGCCTGTTTGTTTAATTGAACATTTTATTGAGCATTTTGTGATTTTATTTTCTCATCTCTCTTAGTCCATCAACTATACTTCTTTAAGAACATTTCATTGGTTTCCCTAGAGTTTGCAATATATATTTACAACTAACCATATCCACTCTAAATTAAGTTATACTGCTTCATGTTTGGTGCTATACATCAACATGTTTTGTCTCTCCTATTTTGTTTGTGTTTCCCTAAGAATTTATTAAATAGAGCCTTGCGGCTCTTTCAGCTATAATCCTCACTTATTATTATACTGGAGCCCTCTTGATGAAGAGGTAAGGTGCAGAGGAGAGAAAACATTCTTTAGTCTTATGATTACATTTCAATCTTGTAGAGGAACTGTGTCCCTAGACTGTAATTTTTAGAATGACTTCTTAGATATTTTCCCTTTCCTCACTCCATGAAATGAGACAGAAGCCTAGAAGAAGCTGGATTTTTAGGTAATTGCCCTTCCCCTGGCTCCCCAGGAGTTTCCCATTCTCATGTAAATCCACATTCCACCTCCAATTAACTTCCCATTTAAGTGTTTCTGTGGTCTATGACTCTAAGTGGCTTCTCTTCCAGATAGCTGATTTCATCTGTGATTCTCTGGATTTGTCTATCAGTCAGTTTTGGGGGTGACCGTTTGCCCTGTCACCCCAGTTTTCCTGTATGTACATGAAATTCATTAATTTTCAGGTTGTTTAGCTTTTGTTTTTTTTTGGTAAGGATGTCAGTGATGACTTCTTAGGTCTTTGCATTGTTAGAACTGAAACCAAAAATTGAACTTTTTAAACCACTACAAGTTAAAATTCTTCTCTTAAAATTTGTATTAAAATTATGGTTCTATTGTAATATTATCTTATAGCCAGAACTTGTAACCTATTTAATTTCTCTTTATTATTATTTATTTCAATCAATTCAGGGCCCAATACTTGGTATGTTCTTGTGTTTATGACCAAGTTATTAATACATACATTTTGAAATTTTAAAAACTTATATCCCATATATCTTTTTAAATACACTTGTGGAGTTAAAAATTGAAAGTAAAAAATTTTAACAACCTTGAAAGATTTGTCTATTAGTAGTCTTAAAGGTTATTAAAATACAGATATTGTGAATTTTGCTCTCTGTCTTACTTACAATTCTTTAATGTCACTTGCCCATTTTTTTACTTTTAACATTTTTACTGTCACTTTGTTTTTGTTGTATCTTTGGTACTTGTATCAAAGCTAAATTGTATCTTTGATAGATGAAAATTTAATCTATGTAAAATGACACATATCTTCTTGCTAATAAATTTTGAGGACACTTTTAATATCTAATCCCTCTTCATTTTTCTCCATTTAAGAAAAACAGTATGTTTTCTTTACTTTTATCTTTTGTAAGATTTATAGTCTCATTTTGATTCTATTTGTTACCCTTATGATTCTAATTAATTCTCAAGTATATGTTTCTCTAATTCAGCACATCCAATGTGAAGCCAGGCCGTTTGAGTTTAGTGTCTTTGAAATAAATAATTTAACTCAGTTTTTTAACTTTCCTAGATTTGGTTTGTTAAAATTTTTAATATACTCTGAAGTTTTAGATTAAGTTTACTATAATTTTATTACTATATGCAGTATATATCCTCTCTTTCTAGAATAGGTCTTCTGAAATTTTTTTTGTTTTTGAACCCTCTATATTCTGAAATATTATTAGGAATTCCAAAGAGTTAGCTTTTGTTTATGTAGGTTATACCTATTAATATTTACCATATGAGAAAGTAGAACTTTGGACAATTAAATATATTTATTTATTCATTCATTTAATAATAATGATGGTGAGGAACTCATTACTTGCTAACATAAATGACCTATTTTATGAAAAATAACTGTCTTCTAAAATAAACTAAATTAGTGAGATTAGTGATGTTCACACTTTTGCAATCTATTAGCTGATTCTGTAGAGGACAGCTTGATTCTCCTATCTGCTTCTTCATTCAATCTCTTGTGATACCACTGGCCATGTATTCTCTGGAAAAATCTACTATACATTTATAAGAGGACGAGAGAGAAAAAGGGTAAATAGCATCTTATATGAAAATAGTTCTGGCTTTGATGACACCTGAAATAGTTTTTTCACAAAATCCCCAGGGTCCCTAGACCACACTTTGAGAATTACTGTTGTCAAATAATTTTGAGATGTACTTTCTGTTCTCAAATTAAATTTTCAGTTTTTAGACATTAGTATTTTAACTGGTTTTACTAATGCCTTCCACTTCTTCTATAACAAAACTTGCTGGTATTGATTTCCTGATTCTCTTATTATAGACATCAGCAAATAATTTGTCCCAGACCATGTGTCAGTAAGATTGGAGTAGATTATTGTGTTGTAATGAGCTTCCCCAGTGGCTTAGTGGGTAAGAATCCGCCTGCAACACAAGAGCCAGAGGAGACGCAGGTTCGATCCCTGGGTTGGAAAGTTCCCGTAGAAGAGGAAATGCTGACCCACTCTAGCATTCTTGCCTGAAAAAAGTCCCATGGATCAAGGAGCCTGGTGGGCTACAGTCCAAAGGGTTGCAAAGCGTCGGACATGACTGAGCGACTAGGCACCACAGCACATTCCTTTGGAACAGACAGTTCTAAGAATCTCACGGGCCCCTGGCTGCTTCAGGGACTCCTCACCCTGGACTGTCTCTGACTGGTGAAGAGCCACCATCTGAAGTGACAGCCACCACAGCAAGCTGAGGGAGAGTGAGCGTGACTCACCCGTGCTGGCTCCGAATTCCTCTCCCAAAGTGTCACCCATCAGCACAAGAAGGCAAGAAGGTGCAACCCCACCTTTGCCCAGAAGCGAAGAACATTGAGGGCTTCCCTGGTGGCTAAGACGGCACAGAATCCGCCTGCAATGCGGGAGACCTGGGTTTGATCCCCGGGCTGGGAAGATCCCCTGGAGCAGGGCATGGCAACACAGTCCAGTATCTTGCCTAGAATTCCATGGACAGAGGAGACAGGCAGGCTGCTACTGCCCCTGGGGTCACAAAAGGTTGGACACGACTGAGCAAGTAAGCACACACACACAGAATATTAAACATTGAAACTGTGTGACCAGCACAGAGAATGCGTGAGTGATGTGTTTTCTGAGCCTGGGTACAGCTATTTTCTTTCACATTTCACAGACAAATGACTGAACAGGGCATATATGTTTTACTCATTTCCTTTTAATTCTGAATCTACACACTTGCATAACTATTTTAGACAGTCAGATGTTTCAAATTTGCTTTCCATTCCTCCTTTACAATTTTTTTCCAGCTGTGTTCTGGAAAAATTCTGTTGTCTTTATTTTATGATCATTTTAGTTAAACTTAAAAAAAAAAATTCAGTAATCTTTTAAAATTTCCAGGCCCATTATCTTAGTTTCTGGTCTTTTCTTCTTGGCATCCTGGACATAATATCATCTCCTATGTGTATGAAAATTGGTTGGCTTTTTTTTTTTTTTTAGAAATTCTGTTTCCTGTAACATGTCTATTTATGCTGGAGTAATCTTTGCTCTCTGCTCATCTTGGTTCTGCCCTTTCATGCTGTTGGTTTCCATGAATGGCTGTGGTCTGTAATTGTTTGTTCATTCTTAAGGGCAAGGCACTGATAAGCTAGCTTGGAACTCCACTTAATGAGATGGGCTTGAGAACTTGTGGCTTTGTTGGGTGAATCCCAAATGCCCAAAGGCAAAGATGTTTTTTTCCTGAGTCATTTACAGTTTTTGTAAGAAGAAACCTCTGGTCTCCTGCCTAGATGAAGAAGTTCTGTGTTGGGGTCAGGGAGGAGTGAGGGAGCGCATTGATTTATATTTTCTCCTTTCAAACAATCCCTCTGTTTTTATCCTAGTGTCCTCTTCCCTGCCTGCACTACCTCCCCAGGGGCCTCTAAGGCACACTGCACCCCTCTCTGACCCCTGGGAGCATCCACCACTAGTAATAGTGATGAACGTCCTGACCACTTTTTCAGACTTTGGTTTAAGTATCTCATCTAATCCTTCTCTCTTAGTCATAATGACTTTAATTCCTTTACTAATGTTTTATAGGACTCTCTAGTGAGAGAGGAGAAAAACAATTGTTTTCAATCAACTATCTTTAACCAGAAGTCTTTTTCATTTTTTAAGGAGTTCAATGAAGAAATGGATTTTTTCTATCGTGATGTGTATTTGGAGAATGGGAAGTTCCAATGACCCTCTTACAGTGGGATAAAAAATATCCTATGAGTCTATATACCTTTTAGCAACACCGAGAAGTGGATTGAGAAATTATCAGCAAGGGAAACAATTTATCAAGCAAGAATCAGAATTACACAGTTTTTTGAGTACTAAAATTACTTCTCAGAGATGTGGTTATGTCTGAAATCCAGAGCTCTTATAGTTCTTCATGCATATAACACTTCCACAGGCAGGTTAAGATACAGAACAACCTTGTCCTAGTTTTGAATATTCACACACACCTCTATATTAGACCAAACAGAAAGACATATTCTCAATATTTAACTGAAACTTTATTAGAGAAGAGTCTTTGACCTAATTTTATGATGTGGAATGCCATTCCTGTCTCTGCAGTTACAGATGGGAGTGGTCTATTTCTTTTATACCTTCCAGAGATTTCTTCTATTTGTTATTAACTAAGAAGGCTTTCAGTTCAGTGGTAGATTCTGTAGTATTATCTCAGTTGATTTTTTATTTCTTTGTAACTTATTTTTTGATGATGTGTATTTGTCAGAATTCTTCAGAGAAACAGAACCAATAGGCTGTATTGTGTATGTGTGTGTGTGTGGAGAGAGAGAGAGATTTATTAATAAGGAATTGGCTCACACAATAATGGAGGCCAGCAAGTCCGAAGTCAGCTATGGGCCAGCAGCCCAGAGATCCTGCAGAGTCTCTGAAAGTAGTCAGCTGGAGAATTCCTTCTTAGTCAGGGAGGCTGGTGTTTTTGTTTTATTCAGGCCTTCAACTGATTGGATGAGGCCCAGCTCACATTATGTCAGGCAAACTGCTTACTCAAATTTCACCAATTTAACATAAAATAGTAGTCTTATCCTCCCAAGTCTTCCAGTTTGACACATAAAATTAACCATCACAATATCATTATAAATTCCTATAAAGTTTTATCATTTTAAATCTCAATGTTTTCCAAAGAGAGTTTGGGTGAAAGTCTCTTCACGGTAGTTTTAAGTAGAACAGGGTGAATTCTTTCTAGGTGCAGGTCTTCCTTAAGCCCAGTGTGTTCTTCTATTGTGCCCTTGATTATTCTCTAAGTTAAATAGATTCCATCTATTCTGCTCCTTCCACAAGAACATAGTTTTATCCATGTTGACTCTCCACTGAGTATCTATCATCAAAAAGGCAAATAACACATGTTGGTGAGGATGTAGAGAAAAGGGAGCCTTCCTATATTGCTGATGTAAATTGGTGCAGTTGTTGTAGAAAGCAATATGGAACTTCCTCAGAAAACTAAAAAGAGAAATACAATATGACTCAGCAAATTCATATCTGAAAAAAGCAATAAGACCAATTTGAAAAGATATATGCACCCCAGTTCTCCTAGCAGCATTAGTTGCAATTGTCTTTATATATATATATATATATGGCTTCCCTGGAGGCTCAGATGGTAAAGAATCTGCCTGAAACGCAGGAAACTCGGGTTCAATCCCTAGGTCAGGAAGAATCCTGTGGAGAAGGAAATGGCTACCCACTCCAGTATTCTTGCCTGGAGAATCCCATGGACAGAGGGGTCTGGTGGGCTACAGTCTATGGGAACTGCAAAGAATCGGACATGACTGAGTGACTAACACTTTAACTTTCTTTTCATATATATACATATATATATGGAATACTGTGTGCTGTGCTGTGCTTAGTCACTCAGTCTTTGTGACCCTATGGACTGTAGCCCACCAGGCTCCTCTGTCCATGGGATTCTCCAGGCAAGAATACTGGAGTGTGTTGCCATTCCCTTTTCCATATGGAATACTACTCAGCAATAAATAATGAATGACATTTTGCCAGTTGCCACAACATATATGGATACTAAGTGAAGTAAGTCAGACAGAGAAAGACAAATACTGGATGATATCACTTACATATGGAATCTAAAAAATACAACCAACTAATGAATATAACAAAGAAGAAGCAGATTCGTAGATTTAGAAATCAAACTAGTGATTACCAGTGGGGAGAAATGGGGGAGAGGGAATTTAGAGTGGAAGACTGGGAGATACAAACTGTTGAGTGTAACATAGGCTACAATGATGTATTGTACAACATGGGGAATTATAGATAGTATTTTGTTATAACTGTAAATAGAATGTAACCTTTAAAAATTGTATAAAAATATATGCAGTAAATATTCATGTAGAAAAAAGAGTAGTCATGATAATATACCATTTCATATATAAAAGCATTCAAAAACTATAAAAAAAAGAAAATAAAATCTAGCCTCCATCTCTTGGAAACCCAGTGTCTACTTTCATTTCGTGTCTTTGTTTCTCAGAATGATCACAGGGGATCAGAACCCAGAGGAGCAGCACCCAGTGGAGCAGCTTTGCTATGAGTTCGTATTCAGGCTCTTCAAAGAAAATAAGGTGGAGATTGCAAATGCCATACCAAAGCCATTTCCTTTTCTCATGGGCCTGCGAGATCGGGACTTCATCTCTGAGTCAATGTACGAGGTAAGTGAGTGGAATTCCCTTTTGACAACCAGCCCCACACTAGATTCTGCCAAATTTCGAATGCGATGAACAGGCTAAAGGGCCTCCTTTGAACAGGGACTTTCGCCATCCTGTCAGTTAGGAGGGGATAGGAGAAACAGCATCACAGACAGTATTCCTTCTTCTGTCTTAAATGGGAGGGGGCCATGATGATGGAAATGCAGCAACTCTGGAAATGGGAATGAGACACAGGTGGGAGTGTCTTAGGTCCACTGACCCAATGTAATAGCAATAACAAAATTAAAGTGAATAAGTGAGTTGGGCAACATTTCACCACAAAGCCCTCTTCTTTTACACGCTTGAATCTGAGGTGAATGAACTCACAGGGAAGTTGTGTCACGTTAGGATGAATTCGGAACAAGGTGCTTGCTGCTGTCTCCAAACTGTTTGTTGTTCTTTAGGCATTTCTGTATGCAGAATGCACTGTGGGCCTTCCTGGGAATCTGGGGGCAAGTCATTGTTTTGTCTTTGTGAATTTTCTTTGCCCTTTGGCCATGTTCATAGGAGTGGTTGCCAGGTTTCCTGGAAGCGAGGGCAGTGGTTATTTTCTGGTCAACAAAATGGCCACTCAGTACCAGTAAGGACCACTCCTGAAGCATCCTGGCCAGGCTCTTAAAGTCCCCACACCACATTCAATTTTGAACTTATTTTTATTCTTCAGAGTTGCTCTCTTAAATGGACATCAATGTCAGAGAGGCAGGTTAACAACATAAGAGTCTATTTTTACAATGGAGGATATTTTAGGTGCCATCCAAATATATGTAGTAAAAGTGAAAGTCACTCAGTGGTGTCCTACTCTTTGCGACCCTGTGGACTATACAGTTCATGGAATTCTCCAGGCCAGAATACTAGAGTGGATAGCCGTTCCCTTCTCCAGGGGATCTTCCCAACCCACGGATTGAACCGAAGTCTCCCGCATTGTAGGCGGATTCTTTACCACCTGAATCACAAGGGAAGCCCAAGAATACTGAAGTGGGTGATGGTGGTGGTGGTTTAGTTACTAAGATGTGTCCGACTCTTGAGATCCCAGGGACTGTAGCCCACCATGCTCCTCTGTCCATGAGATTCTCCAGGCAAGAATATTGGAGTGGGTTGCCATTTCCTTCTCCAGGGGATCTTCCCAATCTAGGAATTGAACGGGGGTCTCCTTCATTACAGGCAGATTCCTTACCAACTGAGCTATCAGGGAACCAGTCCAAATATATGTAACATTCTAACACTTCACCAGGGAACAAATTTGTTTATTTCTGATCTGAGTCGCCCATAACCCATACACACAAAGCTACATAATTCTCCATTCAATATTTTTAAAGCATTTTCAAGAAGCTTGTAGAAATCTGGTCCCGGTGGAAAGAGTGATGTATGAAGTTCTCAGTGAACTGGAGAAGAAATTTGACAAGACGGTTCTGGAAGCCCTGTTCAGCCAGATTAACCTGAAGGCCTATCCTGATTTACTTCAGATTCGCAATAGCTTCCAAAACGGTAATTAGAGCTTTCAACAACTTTTGGGGACTCAAGTCCACTTCATTCACTGATTCATTCATTCACTTTTCATATGTTTGAAAGTTATTTTACTGAGTGACTATCTAGTGGCAGGTAAAATAGGAAGGAAAACACACATAATCTGTGTCTCCATGAAGCTTACACGTAATAGGGGTGACACCTTAACCCAGTAATGCCACAAATGATTGCTCAGCCAGGATCTATATTTGAAGCTGAGAAGCATAGGATTTAAATCTCAACTTTTTTGGAGGAAGGCATGAATTATGCCCTTTTGTTGGAAAGGAGGGAGACTTCCTTAACACGTGCAGACACACTCAAAGATGAAAAGATTTTCTTTGTAAGAAAATTTGGGGCAGTCAGGTGCAAACTTACTTCCCCTAACAGTGTGGAGAACTTGCAGGGGAAGGCCAGTACCTACCCATGCATTGGGGAGAGGCAGCATGGGAAAGCTGTATCAGGAAAAAGGAACAGTAGACTTGCAGAACCACGTGGCTACAAAAGGGAGTGTGGGTGAGAGGTTTTGGAAGCCCCTTCTGGAAAGAGGAGTTGGAGAGGATTTTTGAAGGTGGGACATCCTGTGCTAAGGAATTTGAAATTTATTATTTGAGAAACAAAGAAGTAATATAAGATTTTTGAGCAGAGAAAAAGTAAAAAAAGTCAGTATAAAGGATGGGATGTGTTTATTTGTGAAAATTCTGTCTTGTAAAATAAGAGCTGTCTCATTTCCACAATGCTATATCGGAGTCGAAAAAAGAAATAAAGAAAAGCCACAAATTTCAAGTCAATACTATGTTTGTAACCATGGTGTCCCCAGGCCGCGGGTAGGAAGGGAAAGGTGGTTAACTTTACTGCCCACATCTCAGGGGCTCCAACCCTCTCCCAATACTGTAAGGATTCTCCTCCCTGGAACCCAGCACCCACATTATGTGTATTAATTTCTGGGGCTTCCTGTGCTGAGACATCCTACCCATCAGGCTTGCCCCTGCCCACCTCCTGGTCTAATGCAGTTGCCCACCTGCCCCCAGAGGAGGTTGTTGCTGGTGCCTTCCAGCCCAGCTGTCCACAGGAGCTTAGAGTCAGCAGCCCGGAGCCAAGATGCTGGTAGGAGGGGTCAGAGAAGCCCCCCCCTCCCATCACTGAAATGCCTGCTTCTGGAGCCTCCTTACATTTCTAAAACCTCTTACCCACACAGCATTTGCCCCCATGTCCTCTTCCGAAGTTGGCCTGGGCATGAAGTCAAGGTGTCCTGGAGATGGAAAAAGCATCTCTTACTGTCCTGAACCCTCAGTGGGTATTGTACCCCCACCAAGGAGGTGTGCTCCTGCCATCCATCCTTCTAGCAGCATCTTCTGTCAGCATCTTTTTCTGTTTCTGGAGTGGTTTTTCCTCATATCTTGTGAGTCTTGCTTTTCCAACCATGTGTGCTGTTCAGTTCAGTTCAGTCACTCAGTCGTGTCCGACTATTTGTGACCCCATGAATCACAGCACGCCAGGCCTCCCTGTCCATCACCAACTCCCAGAGTTTACTCAAACTCATGTCCATCGAGTCGGTGATGCCATCCAGCCATCTCATCCTCTGTTGTCCCCTTCTCCTCCTGCCCCCAATCCCTCCCAGCATCAGGGTCTTTTCCAATGAGTCAACTCTTTGCATCAGGTGGCCAAAGTATTGGAGTTTCAGCTTCAACATCAGTCCTTCTAATGAACACCCAGGACTGATCTCCTTTAGGATGGACTGGTTGGATCTCCTTGCAGTCCAAGGGACTCTCAAGAGTCTTCTCCAACACCACAGTTCAAAAGCATCAATTTTTCAGTGCTCAGCTTTCTTCACCGTCCAACTCTCACATCCATACATGATCACTGGAAAAACCATAGCCTTGACCAGATGGACCTTTGCTGGCAAAGTAATGTCTCTGCTTTTTAGTATGCTGTCTAGGTTGGTCATAACTTTCCTTCCAAGGAGTAAGCGTCTTTTAATTTCATGGCTGCCATCACCATCTGCAGTGATTTTGGAGCCCGGAAAAATAAATCCAGCCACTGTTTCCCCATCTATTTTCCTGAAGTGATGGGACCAGATGTATGTTGAGTCACTTTGAAATGGCAATTTTGATGGAGTGGTGCCTTGGCCTGGTTTCTCATGCTTGTTACCATCTTCTGGGTCACTGGTACAGCTATGGCAATATTTACTTCCTGTTTGTGCCATTCATAAAAATAGCCACTTCCTGTCTGTGCCTTTCAGACAGTGTCTTTCCCTGTTTCCTGGATCTCTCCCCACCCATCCCGCCCCAGGGAAATAAGAGTTTCTCTTCAGTGTTGTGTCTCTATAACCAGATCTTCTTCCCTGACCCAAGATCTTTTTTCCTTCCTTCCTTCTTCCCTCCCTCCATTCTTTCCTTCCTTCCTTTCTCTCTTCTTTTTAAAATCTTCAACTTCTAAAGACATTGGGGCTTTTCTTCTATAACATAGGTCTATTTCTTTAGAAACATTACCTTTCTCTTGAAAAAATCCTTCTGCTTCTTCCCTAGTCTTAGTTGCACATAGAATTTACAAAGCACATTCCACATTTACTATTTATTTACTTATTTTTTTCCATTTATTTTTATTAGTTGGAGGCTAATTACTTTACAATATTGTAGTGGTTTTTGTCATACATTGACATGAATCGGCCATGGATTTACATGTATTCCCCATCCCGATCTCCCCTCCCACCTCCCTCTCTACCCGATCCCTCTGGGTCTTCTTCCCAGTGCACCAGGCCTGAGCACTTGTCTCATGCATCCAACCTGGGCTGGTGATCTGTTTCACCAAAGATAATATACATGTTTCGATGCTGTTCTCTCGAAACATCCCACCCTCACCTTCTCCCACAGAGTCCAAAATTCTGTACATCTGAGTCTCTTTTTCTGTTTTGCATATAGGGTTATTGTTACCATCTTTCTAAATTCCATATATATGTGTTAGTATACTGTATTGGTCTTTATCTTTCTGGCTTACTTCACTCTGCATAATGGGCTCCAGTTCAGTTTCATCCATCTCATTAGAACTGATTCAAATGAATTCTTTTTGATGGTTGAGTAATATTCCATGGTGTATATGTACCACAGCTTCCATATCCATTCGTCTGCTGATGGGCATCTAGGTTGCTTCCATGTCCTGGCTATTATAAACAGTGCTGCAATGAACACTGGGGTGCATGTGTCTCTTTCAGATCTGGTTTCTTTGGTGCATATGCCCAGAAGTGTGATTGCTGGGCAGTTCTATTTCCAGTTTTTTAAGAAATCTCCACACTGTTCTCCATAGCAGCTGTACTAGTTTGCATTCCCACCAACAGTGTAAGAGGGTTCCCTTTTCTCCACACCCTTTCCAGCATTTATTGCTTGTAGACTTTCAGAAAGCAGCCATCCTGACTGGCGTGTAATGGTACCTCATTGTGGTTTTGATTTGCATTTCTCTGATAATGAGTGATGTTGAGCATCTTTTCATGTGTTTTTTAGCCATCTGTATGTCTTCTTTGGAGAAATGTCTGTTTATTTCTTTAGCCCATTTTTTGATTGGGTCATTTATTTTTCTGAAATTGAGCTGCAGGAGTTGCTTGTATATTTTTGATATTAATCCTTGTCTGTTGCTTCTTTTGCTATTATTTTCTCCCAATCTGAGGGCTGTCTTTTCACCTTGCTTATGGTTTCCTTTGTTGTGCAAAAGCTTTTAAGTTTCATTAGGTCCCATTGGTTTATTTTTGTTTTTATTTCCAATATTCTTGGAGGTGAGTCATAGAGGATCCTGCTGTGATTTATGTTGGAGAGTGTTTTGCCTATGTTCTTCTCTAGGAGTTTTATAGTTTCTTGTCTTACATTTAGATCTTTAATCCATTTTGAGTTTATTTTTGTGTGTGGTGTTAGAAAATGTTCTAGTTTCATTCTTTTACAAGTGGTTGACCAATTTTCCCAGCACCACTTGTTAAAGAGGTTGTCTTTTTTCCATTGTATATTCTTGCCTCCTTTGTCAAAGATAAGGTGTCCATAGGTTCATGGATTTATCTCTGGGCTTTCTATTCTGTTGCATTGATCTATATTTCTGTCTTTGTGCCAGTACCATACTGTCTTGATAACTGTGGCTTTGTAATATAGTCTGAAGTCAGGCAGGTTGATTCCTCCAGTTCCATTCTTCTTTCTCAAGATTACTTTGGCTATTCGAGGTTTTTTGTATTTCCATACAAATTGTGAAATTATTTGTTCTAGTTCTGTGAAAAATACCATTGGTAGCTTGTTAGGGATTGCATTGAATCTATAGAGTGCTTTGGGTAGTATAGTCATTTTGACAATATTGATTCTTCCAAACTCATTCTATGTGGCCACCATCACCCTAATTCCAAAACCAGACAAAGATGCCACAAAAAAAGAAAACTACAGGTCAATATCTCTGATAAAGATAGGTGCAAAAATCCTTAACAAAATTCTAGCAAACAGAATCCAACAACATATTAAAAAAATCATACATCATGACCAAGTGGGCTTTATCCCAGGAATGCAAGGATTCTTTAATATCTGCAAATCAATCAATGTAATACACCACATTAACAAATTGAAAGATAAAAACCATATGATTATCTTAATAGATGCAGAAAAAGCCTTTGACAAAATTCTAATTCAACATCCATTTATGATAAAAGCTCTCCAGAAAGCAGGAATAGAATAAACATACCTCAACATAATAAAAGCTATATATGACAAACCCACAGCAAGCATTACTGTCAATGGTGAAAAATTGAAAGCATTTCCCCTAAAATCAGGAACAAGACAAGGGTGCCCACTCTCACCACTACTATTCAACATAGTTTTGGAAGTTTTGGCCACAGCAATCAGAGCAGAAAAAGAAGTAAAAGGAATCCAGATAGGAAAAGAAGAAGTAAAAGTCTCGCTGTTTGCAGATGACATGATCCTCTACATAGAAAACCCTAAAGACTCTACCAGAAAATTACTAGAGCTAATCAACAAATATAGTAAAGTTGCAGGATATAAAATTAACACACAGAAATCCCTTGCATTCCTATACACTAACAATGAGAAAACAGAAAGAGAAATTAAGGAAACAATACCATTCACTATTGCAACAAAAAGAATAAAATACTTAGGAGTATATCTACCTAAAGAAACAAAAGACCTATACATAGAAAACTATAAAACACTGATGAAAGAAATCAAAGAGGACACAAACAGATGGAGAAATATACCGTGTTCATGGATTGGAAGAATCAATATTGTCAAAATGACTATGCTATTTATTTTAAATTGGCTTTCATTGTTTCCTGATCATTTGGAAAGGGAGTTGACCACTGTTTGCAATTTTCCACTATCCATTTTTTTTAAACCTTGAGAGGTGTGTTCAGTGTGAAACAGCCGTAAGATTACAGGGGCAACATCAAGTTTCACAGGACTTGAGAGACCCACTGAAGCCCAGGGTTCCCTGAGGGCTGGAAGGTTTTCCCTGAACTGTGGGAGTCAAGGATATGACTGGATGTGTAACTGTGAGATGCAACTCCTGGTGCCCATCTGAAATCTCTACTTGTCTTTCCTTTCTCTTCTCAGCGATTTGTGACAACTTCTATTACCAAACCATTGATGAAGGAGAGACAAAGGAGATGCTCAACTCACAATTAAACCATGAACAAGGTAATTCTGACTTGACAGAAGCTTGTTTTCTCATCTGTTAAGAAAGAAGGAGAACAGCGGTCAGGGGATTGAGCTCTTGGTGCAACAGGAAATGGGGAAACCAGAGCAGCAGTGTGTGTATGGGCTCCAGTTAGGCAACCAGATCTGGAACCCAAGAATATTACCAGGCAGCTGTGACAACCGAGAAGGCAGAACATAAGTCCGAGAGAGGTCTCACTGTGACAGTGAGGCAGAATTAAGGTGAAGAACTGATAGCAGTAACCGTGAATTAGGAATTCAGTGGACCTGGGAAAGGATAAGGGTTTGGTGTTATTTGGACTTCGCTGGTGGCTTAGATGGTAAAGAATCCGCCTGCCAATGCAGGAGACCCAGGTTTGATCCCTGGTTCGGCAAAATCCCCTGGAGGAGAAAATGGCAACCCGCTCCATTTATCTGGCCTGGAAAATCCCATGGACAGAGGAGACTGGCGGGCTACAGCCCAAGGGGTTGCAAAGAGTCGGACACAACTGAGCGTGTAACATACAGAGATAGAGAAGTCCAAAGAGGAAGTCTTTGATGTGTCAAAAGAAGGAACTATTGTAAAGTTCACTCATAATAAAAAAGAGGAAGAGAGGAAGAAGTAATTGTATGCAGAAGAAAATGTGGAGGAAATAGTGTTTGTAGAAAAGAAGAAAAGGAAAAGGGGAGGAGTAAAAAGGGAAGAAGAGAACCAAGGGCAGTAATAAATTTCTGACAATAGTTACAACACACAACTGTCTCCATCCTTAAGCCAAATGGTCAACAGTAAATTTAATTATTTGTTAAATGTTGGTTTTTTTTTTTCCCTTGGAAATGACCAGGGCAAGAAAAAACTGCAGAATGGCTTTGCAGAATACCATGAATATTTATCTTTAATTTGTGTTTATAACTCAAAGATTACGTATTTTAGACATGTATTAATACATTTATGTAACATTTTGATGTATTTAATAATAATATTTATTCTTTTGAATGAAGACCAGTTGCTAAAAGTATAAAATGTGCATTAAAAAGTACAAAATATGTAAAAAATATATTTAGAGATTCATCTACTACTGGGAATAGTGGAAATGAGAATGGGTGGTGGAAGGATTCATAACAGTTATTAGTAAAGAGTAAAAGGTTCATCACATAGAATGATGGAAAATGTATAAAGAATTCCTATGAATGAATAATAAAAAAACACACCACCAATTTAAAAAAAGTGACAGAAGTCTTGAAGAGACATTTCACGCAGAAGATATAAAATGGCCAATAAGGACATAAGTGAAGTGAACATTAGTCATTGCGGAAAAGCCACAAGAAGCTACCATTTGGTTATTAGAATCACTAAAATTAAAAATACTGACAACACCAAATGCGGTGGGACCTATGGACCAACTAGAACTCCTTTATGTATGTTGCTGGTTTGAATATAAAGTGATATAACCACCTTGGAAAACTGTTTGGCAGTCTCTTATAAAGTTAAACATAACCTACCACCCAGCGGTTCCACCCCTAAGTATATTTTTGTAAGGAATGAAAACATGTTCATACAAAGATTTGTACAACAATGTTATTGTAGCTTTATTCCTAATAGCTAAAATCTGGAACCAATTCAAATTTTCATCAATAAGAGAGGGAATAAACTGTGATATATTTATTAAATGCAATATTATTCAGCAATATAAGGAATGAACTACTGATATATGTAACCATAAGGATGAATCTCAGAAACATTATGTTGAGAAAAAGAAGCCAGTTACAGAAGGACATGCTGTGTGATCCTATTGATGTAAGCATCCCTACAAACAAGTCTCTTCTCTGGATACTGTCTGAGTTCTATCATTTCCTTGTTGCTCTCTTTAGTGTCCTTGGAATACTCACCTCTCCGAACGAACAGTGTAAGAGGATTTGAAGGTATGCCCATAAGAGGATTTGAAGGTATGCCCAGACTACTGACATATAATAGGCAAGGTAACTATCATTTAATTTGTCAATTCCATATTAAATCTTTGTTTTGTTGTCTTCATGGAAGCAGAGCCTACCTTCAATCTCCTGTCCTAAGCCTCTGCCAGATCCCAGTTTTCCTACCTGCACTTACCTGCTCTCAGATGGAACAGAGACAATGAGAAAAGGAAACTGAACTCCTAAGCAGGTGGAGCACCCATTGATAGGGAATATGAAAAGAGAAAATGGAGAAAGTATATAAGGTGTAAATATGTGACCAGTTACAGGAATGGATCCAGTTTTCCAAAAGGAATATAAAATCTTACCCTTCCAGGTTGAGATACAAGATAATTTTCAATTAGATTCACAGAATAGTTAAGAGAAACTGGGAAACATCATGCCATGTCAGGTTTATGTGGGAGAGCTGGCCAGTTGGAGGTCCCTGGGACTATAATCAGAGTCTAAGAGGAGAGTTTTGGAGATGATGAGAGGGCAGAACTTGGAGGATGAAATCACACAGAAGGACAGAAGTTGAGTAGCACTGAGAGTCAGAGGTCAAGGTAAAGTGGGAGGAACAGAAATGGAAGGGGAGCAAGTGTAAGACACAGCAGAGGAGAGATAAACTGAAAAATCTCCGAAGAATCTGAGATAAAAATTGAGAGCCAAAAATATGGAAAGAGAAAGAGCAAGGGGAAAATATCAATGCTGAAAATTGGAAAAAGTCAGAGAGAAGTACAAAGGCAACTGTGTAGAGAAATAGTTGGAGAATGGATGGAAAACAGGTTGAGTGAAAAGAGGATAGAAGAGAGAGAGGAACAGATCAGGACATTGCAGGCTCGAGGTAAGAGCACTGGGTATAAGCAACTTTGGGCACAAGGGTTGGCAACGTCAGCTGTGAGTTTTCAGATCAAACTGTCCTTAATCATCGAAGTGGCACTTGTAAAATACTCAGATTGAAAAAGTCCTCTCCCCGAATATTCCAATGATTCCTAAGACCACATCACCACCCTAGATTGTCTTCACAGTGTATTCATCCATGGACTCAAAGACCATGGTCTGCTAGACTTCAGCACTTGAATTCTTTCAAGAACCTTAAACTTGGCACTTCAGGACTGAAAGTAGCTTCTTCATTGCTCAAGCTAGATCTAACTCCTCTTCAGCATTCATGTCTCAGTGACGGGTCACTATTGTCTCATGGGTTTTCATGTTGGAAGTCAAGGCGTCTTCTGGACTCCTCTTGCTTTCAGATACAAGCCCGTTACTCATCCAGCATAGTCATCTCTCTTCCAGAATAACTCACACCTGTCCAATCTGTCACACCCCCAAGTCTCAAATCCAGATCTCTGTCATGGTTCTCAAAACAGGCTCTACTCATAACTTTCCTCTAGCCTTACTCCCATTAAATGTGTCATTTTTACTTCAACCACATGAGACATTTGAAAAGGAAAATTAGATTGTGTTCCTACATACTTTCTTAATACACCAAGGATTAAATATATGTTCCTCTGAGTGGCATCCGCAATCATCCAAGGTGAGCCCCATGTCTATTTTCACAGCCTCATCACCTGCCTCCTACACTGTTAATTCAATATAGGATAAACTTTTTTCCCCCAGTAATTTTAGTTTTTAAATTTGTATTTTTTTATTTAAAAAATTTTTATGGAAATATAGTTGATTTACAATGTTGAGTTTGTTTCGGCCAATCACTTTGCTAATTCAGATAATCATATCTATCTGTGTGTTCAGTCTCTCAGCTGTGTCCAATTCCTGTGACCCCATGGACTGTAGCCTACCAGGCTCCTCTGTTCACGGGATTTTCCAGGCAAGAATATTGGAGTGGGTTGCCATTTTCTCCTCTAGGGATTCTTCCCAACCCAGAGATCAAACCTGGGTCTCCCATGTCTCCTGCACTGCAGGCAGATTCTTTACCACTGATCCACTAGGGAAGCCCATATCTATATCTATATCTATATCTATATCTATATCTATATATATTCTTTTTTACATGTTCTTTAATTATACATTATTACAAGATATTTGGTTTTGGTTCCCTGTGCTATACAGTAGGTCCTTGTTAACTATTTGATATACAATAGAGTGTATATATTAATCCCAAACTCTTAAGTTATCCCTCCCCCATAGCCCCTTTGTAATCATAAGTTTGTTTTCTATGTCTATGAATCTGTTTCTGTTTTGTAAATAAGTTCGTTGGTATTTTTTTTTTTTTAGATCCACATATAAGCCATATCATATGATATTTGTCTTTCTCTGACTTACTCCCATAATAATTTTACTTGTTAAATCTCTCTTTTGTATCTGAGCCTTTTCATATATTTTCTACCTTATTAAGAACTGTTTTCACGTTCCACTGTCTTCCAGTTAACCACCTCATTCTGGCTAAAGCCTACTTAAGACATACTATCTCAGGGACATTTTTCTAGAGAAAGTTAGGAAAAACCAGTTGAGAGACAAAGAATAGCAGAGAAGGAGCAGCACCAGAGAAACAAGAGAAAAAGTTGCAGGAAAAGAGAAAGAGACAGTCCAAGAGATACCAGCAGGAAGAAACAGAGGCAGAGATGGATAAAACGCACAGAATCAATGGAAAGGGAAGAAAGAGAAAGAAAATGCAGTATAAGAAAAGGAAGATTGTCCCACAGTGGGTGAATTCCTCATCCCCTAGTGAAACCTGGTGAAGCAAAGTTAACCTTCAGATCAGGTTATTTTCTTCTTAGGTGGTGGAGTGGTTAAATAATCTGCTTGTCAATGCAGGAAGCACAAGAGACACTAGTTCAATCCCTGGGTCGGGAAGATCCCCTGGAGAAGGGAATGGCAACCTGCTCCAGTATTCTTGCCTGGAAATTTTCATGGACAGAGGAGCCTGGTTTGCTACAGTCCATGGGGTTGCGAAAGAGCTGGACATGACTTGAGTGCAATATGGCATGGCATGGCAGGTTGTTTTGGGGAGCAGGGCTTTCCAGTTTCTCAGCCTTTCTTGATTTTCCAGTTATTTTCTTGCTGTGATTCTTCCTTGGTCATAAATTGAAATGCTTGTG